GGCAGGAGCATCACTTAAAGTCCCAGGCCAGCCTGGGCTACACGGTGAGTTCTGCACCAGTTGGGAGGGCTTAGAAAGAGCTGGCTTCCCTCTGCCCCACCCCAAGAACAAAAGAACAATGGTTTGGGAGGCTGTGCAGATGAGCAAACCCCGAACGGACAAGGAGGGACGGAGTGCAGAGGGGTTATCAGGCCACAGACTGGGCATACGGTAAAAAGCCCGGAGCTGGGGGAAAGCTGTGGGCAGAGCTGGAGTGTCTGCTTACAAGGCAGGTCTGACATGATGGAAGACTCAGGAAGGTCTGATGGTACAGGCCTGCTGAGATCCTACTTGGGAGACTGGAGGCAAGAGGATGGAAGAAAGTTCAAGGCCAGCCTGGCTGCTTAGTGAGCCCTTGTCTCAAAAAGCAAAGAGAGGGCTGGGGTGTGGCTCAGAGGTAGAGCACCTGCCTAGAATCCCCCAGTGAGGGGCTGGGGTGTGGCTCAGTGGTAGAGCACCTGCCTAGAATCCCTCAGTGAGGGGCTGGGGTGTGGCTCCATGTTAAAGTGTTTGGCTAGAAACCCCCAATGAAGGCATCAGGGCTGACTTATCTTAGTGGTTAACATGCTCAGCATACAGGAGACCCTAGTTTCAATCCCGGTACAGGGGAAAAACACAAACAAACAAGCAAACACCTCCATAAGCAGTCTCCCCTTCATCTTGCCGGCCTTTGTTGTCTAATTCTCAGAGACAGGGTCCCACAGTGACACCCAGGTGGTCCTTGAACTTACGGTCCCCTTGCCTCAGCCTGCCAAGTCTCCTTAGATTATTGCTTTAGAACTGTGGGCAAATCACTGGTCTTTACCTCCAGTGCTCTCATTTATGAGATATTGGTCACTCCGTTTTCCCATTTAATTAACCCATGACTAGTTTTTGTGCACATGTCTGAGTGCATGTGTGGAAGTCAAACAACAGCTACCGTGTGGGTCTCAGGCATCGACTCTCAGCTTGTCAGGGTTGACCCGAGCCTTTGCCTGCAGAGCCATCTTGCCTGCTCTGGTCACTCACTCCATTTTTACGAGTGAGACAACAGGATTTGGCGGGAGACGTGACCTTTGCTCACTCACCCAGGCAGCCAGTGTGTGCTTGTGGGGACGGTGGCTGCTTGACGACTGAGCAGAGGGAAATGCGCTGACATGGGGAGTGGGAAGCAGAGCCCTTAGCCCTGTCAAAGTCCTCCTTTTGGTGCGTGCTCCACGCCTGGAATCTCAGCACTCAGGAGGCAGAGGCAGGAGAACCAGAAGTTCAAGGCTATTCTCAATTACATCTCAGGTGGGAAACCAGCCTGGCCCACGAGAGACTGTGTCTCAGCCAGGCGGTGGTGGGGCATGCCTTTAATCCCTGCACTTGAGAGGCAGAGGCGGGTGGGTCTTTATGAGTTTAAGGCCTACAGAGCAAGTTCCTGGACAGCCAGAGCTACACAGAGAAACACTGTCTTATAGAAAATAAAAACAAATAAACAAAAGTCACTAGTTTTATTTATGTGCATGTATCGTGTGCCTGTGCATGTATGTGCATGTGTGTGCATGTGGGCATGAGTATGTGTGTGTGTGCATGTGCATATGCACATGCTAGTGTGCTCAAACTCCTCAAGCTCACCTGCCATGGCAAGCAAGGCCAGAAGCAACTTGTAGGAGGAGTTGGTTTCTCCCCTGCCCTGTGGCTCCCAGGACTCAAACTCAAGCCATCAGGCTATGCAGCACGTGCCTTTACCAGTTGGTCCATCTTGCCATCTCCCTGAGAGGCAATTCTTAAAGTGAAGACATCTAGATTCAGCTAGCTAAGGATTTTCAGGGTAAATGAAAAAATGAACCAAGTGTAGGCTACAGGTTTTCTAAGGGAATGGTTGAGAAAGTGACCAATGCCTGCAGATGCTGAGGATGCCCACAAGGGGGTGGCAGAGTCCAGGCTGTCTTAAATTTAGGCAGCATGGTGGCTTGAAGTTTAAGAGCAAAATGGATGGGAAGCATAGAAAATAAGCATCCCTTTCTTGCTGGGCCACGCCTTTAATCCCAGCACTTAGATGGCAGGTGGATTTCTGTAAGTTAGGGCCAGCCTGTTCGACATAGCGAGTTCCAGGCCCATCATAGTGAGACTTTGTCTAAAAAACAAACAAGCAAGCAAGCACACAAACAAGTAAGGGGGCTGGAGAGATGGTTTAGTGGTTAAGAGCACTGGCTGTTCTTCCAGAGGACCTGGATTCAATTCCCACCAACCATATGGCAGCTCACAACTGTCTGTAACTCCAGTTCCAGGGGACCCGGCACCCTCACACAGACATATGCCAGCAAAGCAACAATGCACATACAATTAAGAATAAATAAAGTAAAAATAAAAGGAAACCATCCCCAAGGGCTGGAGGGAGGACTCCATGGGAAAGTGCTTGCTGCACACGCGTGAAGACTTGAGCAGGACCCACAGAATCACATGTAGAGGGGTCAGCAGCGTGCACCGTGTGTTCCTTCGGTGAGATAGGAGTCAGCGGTTGAAGAATGCCTGGACACTGTGGGCTCAGCTGGTCTGGCATAGGCAGCAGAGAACAAGATGGACATCTTGTCTCAAGCCAGGTGGAAAGAAAGTCAGAGGACACCAGAGGTTATCCTCATGTTCTGTGGCACACATGTGACCGAACTCTCACACACGCACACACAGGCACACATGCGCACACATGCAAAGATGAAAAGAATAAAATTTAAAACGTATACCCAACAGGCCAGCAAAGATGTCTCCGCAGATAAAGGTGCTTGCTGCCAAGCTTGACAACTGAGTTCAGTGCCAGACCCACACGATGGAAGGAGAGGATCAACTCCCACAAGTTGCCCTCTGACCTCCTCACTAATGCAGTAGAGTTCACTGTGTGCTCGCTGCACACATACAAACACATGTGAAATAAGACATCTCCAAAATGTTCAGACTTGTGGTAGCAAAGTGGACTTGAGGCATGATCTCATTCTCATTTGGCAGAAGGTTGGACTAGGTCCAAATGGTCACATGATTTCCCCCAGAGTTGATGGGAGAGCTGGAGCTGCAAATAAAGTTTAGGGCGCCCATCGCTTAGGGACTCTGCAAAGAAACATGAACTTTGTCCTAGGGGGAAGCAGGGGACTATGTTCTTTTTTTTTAAAAATGTGTTATTATTGTGTGTATGTAGGATGAGTGTGCTTGTGTGCCTGTGTGAATATATGTGCATATGTATCCCTGTGTGTGTGTGCCTGTGTGTGTGTGCTTGTGCCTGTGTGCCTCTACGTGTGTGCATGTGTGTGTGTGTGCGTGTATGTACATATGTGTGTATATATATGTGTGTGTTTGTGTGTGTATGTGTGTGTATATGTGTGTATGTATGTGTGTGTATCTGTGTGTGCATGTGTGTGTGTGTATGTGAGTCACACATGGAGACTGGAGGAGAAAGTCAGGGTTCCTGTACTTTCACTCTGTTTAATTTCTTTCAGATAGGACCCTGAATCTGCAGCGAGGCTGGCAGCTGGGGTTATAGACCCACCCGTGTGAGGAACCATCCATGCACAGCTTCTAGGGTTTTTTATTTTTATTTTTTTGAGACAGGGTTACATACATGGCTTTGACTGGTCTGGACCATGCTGGCCTTGAACTCGAAAAGATCTACTTGCCTCTGTTTCCCGAGAGCTAGGATTGAAGTTGTGAACCACCACACCTGGCAATCACAGCTTCTGAAAACACTTAGTACATTTTAATTACTTATTTTGTGTATGTATATGTATACTCCCGTGTGCGCACACATGTGAAGGTCAGAGGATAGCTCGCTGGAGTTGATTCTCTCCTTCTCTCAGGTTTGGCTTGACAGAGACCCCGCAAGCCATTAAACTATTTCACCAATTTTCTGACTCTTAACCTGGCTTCTGGGGATTTGAACTCAGGTCTTCATGCTTGCCCAAAAGCTGTTGTTATTCACTGAGCTATCTGTCCAGCCCCTAAAGAGCTTTCTCTTTCTGCCTCCTGTGTGTGAACAGTTGTGATCTTGCCTCATGACATCCCCAGAGATCAGCAAATGATGCTGGGGAAAGGTGTGGGTTTTACCTTTCTTGGGTGAAGATATTCCCTCTCCTGGTATTGAGGAATGAATTACATCCTGGAGGGAAGGGGATGACAGACAGCCTAGTAGATGTGGCCCAGGAGCCAGGATAATGTGGCAAGGAGAGAAAGTTCTAGAATCTGTAGAACTTGCAACAAATTTGCTTTTGTTGCTTTTAGTTATTATAAGCACACATGAAAGATAGAGAGCTGGTTAAGAATGTGACTGCTCTTACAGGGGAACTTGAGTTCACTTCTCAGAATCAAACACTCATAATAGCCTGTTACTCCCAGAGGATCTGATGCCCACTTCTGGCCATCACTGGCAATTGTACTCATGTTCACATACACACAGATACACACGTACACGTAATTAAAAACAAAATAAATCTTAAAAAAGTATGTAATTGTATTTACATAGGAAAAATTAGAATGCACCAAAATAAAAGCTTTAATTATACCCAGTCTCAGAAAGAAATTCAAGATTAATCATGACCTTGTGAAGACAGATAGTCTATTAAAGACAGTATTTTCTGTGGAAATGGGATGTAATCTTTCTTAGAAGAGTGTTTTGCAGATGATAAAATGCAAATCCAGTGTCAAAGCAATCATCAGCAATGGGTACAGGGCACTGTCCTTGGTGCTGAATCAGACTTGGGGCTAGAAGAACATCTCTGGACATGGGGTTCCGGGAGCTGTCTCCTGCCATCATGACATGCCCACTGCAGTTTCCATACTTTGAGTTCCCAGCACTGCTGTCTCTCTGTTATTCATCCTTGCTAACTACAGGATCTATTTCTCAGTAAGTCCCCAATGGGGAGTTCTCAATGGAGGGTGTGTCCCCCACACTCAACACAGCAGGGGTTCTCAGTCCTCAGCTCCAAGGACCCATGCCAGACGCTGTTGTGTTAGTGTTACAGTGATGTCATGACTATCTCTGGCCTCTGAATCTGGATCTGAAAAAAGAAACAGAAACGGGTGAGGGTTGAGCCCGGAGAAATCTAGTGTTGGAAGCACTTAAGACTCAGATTTATAACCCTGCAACTTCCCTGGCCTAGAACTAGGGTTATCGGTTGGCCCACCCCATTGTCCATCCCATCTGTGGTCTGCTGGAGCATGTGAGGGGACCTGGTCCTGCATACCCAAAGCTGCAGGATCTCCACAACACAGAGCAACAGCAGGCTAACCAAGAGGAGTCCTAGTGAGGGCCCAGCATGACTGTGTAGCAGAAACCAGAGACTTTGAACCAGACCAATGACTCTTTGCAACTAACATTTGCCAGTAAAGATTGTGTGGATTAAAAAGGTTTACTTCGTGGTTCACAACAGCTTCCATGATGAGATTCCCCTCCCCCTTTTTCTTTTCTCTTAAATTTTATGGGGGGGGTGTCGCAAGGGTGGGGACAGGAAATGAATGGGATCGAGATGCAAGATGTGAAAGACTCAGAGAAAAGAAAGTTAAAAAAAAAAAAAAGGACAGGTCTATAGAAGCACAGGTGAAGCTTGTATCTAAAAAAATTATCACATATTCTTTCTTTCTTTTTTTTTTTTTTTTTTTTTGGAGTCAGGGTTTCACTGTGTAGCCCTAGAACTCACTCTGTAGACCAGGCTGGCTTCAAATTCACAGCGATCCACCTGCCTCTGCCTCCCAAGTGCTGGGATTAAAGATGTGGGTCACCGTGTTGGGCCTACAATTTATTTTTGGGGGGGACATGCATGTGTGCCAGGGCATGCATACGGAGATCCAAGAACAATAAGTGGAAATCACTTTCCTCCTTCTACTGTGTGGGTCCTGGGGATTGAAATCAGGTCATCAGGCTTGACGGTAAGCATCTTTACCCACTGATCCATTTCGCCAACACTGGAATTTATCCATTTCTTGAAGTCTGGTACAAACAAGTTGCATCCTCCCTTCCCAGCCAGTTGGATTTAGTAATAATTTGTCCAATGGTTGATCTCTTTTCCACCCCACAAGGTTTTTCCTATCCTCAAATATTCTGCATATTTGAAAAGAAATGTTTGGGGACAGTCTCAAGTAGCCCAGACTAGCCCTAAACTCAAACCAAGGAGGACCACGAATTTTTGATCCTTTTGCTTCTACCTCCCCAGTGCTGGAAAGACAGGTGTGCACCCCCAGCTTATGAAAAGGTGGATTGGAACCCAGGGATTTGTACACTGATAAGCAGCCACTCTACCAACTGAGCCACATGCCCAACAACCAACTGACTTCAAAGAGTCTAATGACTTGGTGACACACACCCATCGTCCCAGCACTCAGGTGACACACACCCATCGTCCCAGCACTCAGGTGACACACACCCATCTCCCAGCACTCAGGTGACACACACCCATCTCCCAGCACTCAAGAGGTTGGGGCTGCAGGAGCACAAGTTTGATGCTGCCAGTAAGACCCTGTCTCAAAAGTTCTTAAATTTGTTTTTAAAAAGAGACGTATTCATTTTATATTTCACATGTATGGGTGTTTGCCTACATGGATGTAAATGCACCACGCACACGCCTGGTGCCTGTGGGGGCTCAATGAGGGTGTCAGATCCCCTGGGACTAGAGTAGTGGATGGTTGTGAGCCATGATGTTTTGGGAACTAAATACGGTCCCTGTAGGAGCAGCAAGTACTGTTTCTCACTGCACCACTCTCCAGACCCTCCCCACAAAATTAACTCTTCAGTAACTAGGACACCAAGGATGCATCTAAGGCACAGAAAGAAACGGAGTCTGAAGCCTGGGAAAGTGTGGGCTTCCTGTCCCCTAGTTCCTGCCTTACTGTTGTGTGTTCTGGAGACCACTGCCTGGATCCCTGGCCATAGACACTATGGCTTTGCTTGCCTGAGGGTCCTACCAGGTAGGAAGGATGATAGAGGACTCAGGGCACAGGAGGTGGGTGGTTCTTCTGGCTCATTCTTACCTTTTCTTCAGGGTTTATATGGCGTAGGGAGGCCTCGAAGTTGCTGTACATGGAGTCCAAATGAACATAATTTTCTCCTTCTAAGGGAGGAGGAAGCCCAACGAAACAGGTGGTTAGAAAATGTTCATCAGTCCCTCGAGCTCCACTGATGGGGGGGGGTGTTCATCCCATGCCCACGAAACAAAAAAAAACCAATGCGAGTTTGGTAAACTGCTTGAATAATTTGCTCCACAACAGCTCCCTAGTGTGAGCTCAGGTGTGTGTGTGGGGGGGGGAGCATGCCTGTAATAACAGCACTTGAGAGGCAGAGGCAGGAGGATGACAAGTTTGAAGTCATTTGGGCTACACAGAAAGACTATGTCTCAAAAATTACGTAGGCAAGACCGGGTTTGAACTTCACAGATCCCCCTCCTTCAACCTTCCCTGGTGCTAGAATTAAAGGTAGCCACGACCAGGCTGGCCATAGTTTGCATTTGGAGACAGCCATCCTATGTGTCTCCGCTGGCCTCAAATTCACTATGTAGTCAAGGATGACCCTTCTGTCTACTGGGATTACACATGTGAACCCATGTCTGATTTATGTGGTACCGGAGACCATACACGCTAAGCAAGCGCTCCCTCCACCCACTAACTCACATCCCCAGCCCATTCCTAGAAATTATAGTGCTTGCATCTAACAAACTGCAATGTTAGCCTCTGTCCTGAGATGTAAGTCACTTGTTGGTGAGCATACTCACCCCTGAGCCCTCATCTAGGTCCCTATAGGCAGAGTTTTATGTTCCAGAGGAACGTACACCATCCGTTTGCTCCATGCCTCCTCTAGGGTACAGTACCCATGTTATATCCCACTCAGGTTCCAGGGAAGCTTTTGAACCTGAAATGGGGTGCTCTGAGAGGGGAGATCATCCCAGTACCTTGCCCGGGTCTCCTGTATCCCCACCCTATACCCATCATTCCAAGTCTGAGCTCCACAGAGATTGCCAATACCTTCGTTGTGGTCAAACCCGACATTGTGGACGGCTCCAGGAGTTTTGCCTTCCTCTTCATTCCACTTCTGCATCTGAGACACTTTGAACGTTTGCCTGTTGGTAGGAGACACCATGGGACCCAGTTATGACCACAGAGTAGCGACAAAGACCCAGGACGAGCTACATCTCTGCTTCCGGCAACTCACAGTCCACCGCGAGAACCGAGATTGCAGGACGGAGAGAGAAGGTAGAACGGGAAGGATTAGGATGGTGAAGGAAGGAGGCACCAGCCACTTACCTTTTTGCCTCTCTTCTGAAGCGCATGGAGAACACACTGAGGACAACAAGGATCACCAACAACACTGCCACCCCAGCTCCCACGAGCCCATACACCAGGCTTTTCTGGATGCCCCGATCGCAGGTTTCCCCACTGTACCAGTGAGTGTCTGTGGTCAGGCAGCTGACGGGAGATGGGCAGAGGAGAAAGGAGTCAGTCATGCTCTGGCCTCATGGGAAAGTATTGAGAGGTGAGTAGAGCTCTGAGGAGATGAACGGACAGCAGACCCAAGTGCAGCCTCTAAGCTGGTCCTAGCACGAGTCCAGTTCTAGGCCCTTTGCCCCCAGCAGCAGTCCAGGGCCCAAGGCAGTTGTTCAAACCCCGAGATTCCTTGGTCTGCACTCCAAGCTGGCCCATCTGCCTGCCCACCCAGTGTTTTCATTTTCAGCCCGATGTGCAAACACCCCATCCCCATTTCTGATCCAGAACCTGTGCTCCCTGTCCTGAGTGCTCCTCACCCAAACTGCCCTCTCTATACCCACCACGTCTACAAATGCACCTTGAATCAGCTTGGGAACTTCTCCAAAAAGCCATCCCAGAATAAGCAGTCAGGCCTCTGCCTATGGATTGCTCCTTCCGTTATCCCTGATGTTTTGTGTGTGGAGACAAACCGCAGGCACTGTCCACATTTTTTTTTTTTTTGGGACACGCTCTCCATGTGGTTGTAGTGGTTTGAGTGAAAATTGTCCCCCATAGTATTGAATATTTGGCCCCCGTTGGTGGTGCTGTGTTAGGGAGGTTTTGGGACCTGTAGGACGTGGAGGGCTTATGGCCTGTTCCCATTTCCAGATTGCTCCCTCAGCTTCCTTCTGCTCCGGCCACCTGCAACCATGCCTTCCTCAACCTTATGAGCCCACCCCCAGAACCAAAAAGCAAAACAAACCCTCTTCTGCAAGTTTTATCACAGCAGCAAAAAGTAATTAATAATCTGGTTTGTAGCTTGTGTACCACATTCATGTAGTACCCATAGCAACCAGAAAAGGGCATGCTATTCCTTGGAACTGGAGTTACAGATGGTACACCACCAGGTGGGCGCTGAGTCCTCTTCAAGAATAGCAAGTGCCCAGAACTTCCAAGACAAGTTTCTAGCCCATGCCTGACTTTTACATGGGTTCTGGGATCCGAACTCAGGTCCTTATGCTTGCATGGCAAACACGTTACTAACTGAACCATCTTTCTAGCCCTTGATTTCTTTTTCTTTTTTTTAAAGGTCTATTTATCTATTATGTGTACAGTGTTCTGCCTGCATGTATGCCTTTGGGCCAGAAGAGGGCACCAGATCTCATTATATATGGTTGTATGCCACCATGAGATTGCTGGGAATTGAACTCAGGACCTCTGGGAGAGCAGCTGGTGCTTTTAACCAGCTGCTTTTGTTTATTTGTTTGTTTGCTTGATGATTGAGACAGAGCCTCTAAGGGCAACTCAGACCGACTGAATTCATGATCTTCCTGGAGCCTTTGGCCTCCCACATGCTGGTATCACAGACATGCATCACCACACTCAGTGTTCAGTTTGCAATGCCTTTCTTCATTTTTCTATGTCTATGACTAGACTATTCAGGGTCCCTGTCCCCATGGAGACACGTAGAGCTTTCTTTACCTATTCAATTGCAGAGGACATTTAAAAATTATAAAATTACATTTACTTACTGTGTGTGTGTGTGTGTTTGTGTGTGTGTACTGTGGAGGTCAGAGAACAACTTGCAAATGTTGGTTCTCACCTTCTACCATGTGGATCCCAGGGATTGAACTCAGGTCATCAGGTTTAGGGGCAAGTGCCTTTATCCACTGAGACACCTCTCAGGCTGTGGGGCACATGTTCTTTCTCTGAGAAGGAGGCCCTGTGTTCTCTGCTATACTGGGAGCCTCCTGAAGCTGGAGCCGCCATCGCTCATTCTGTCTTGGAGGTTTTCCTACCAGTTTGGACATTTCCTGACCCACTTTAGTGCCCTCTGGACGTCATGCGTGTCCCATCCCTTTAACCCTGCAACCTGATTCTTTGACAACTGTATCCTTTTAAGAGGTGCAGTGTAATGTATATGATAATCTCATGACCTTGGCCTCCAGGAGAGGAGCCACCCCACAGGCAGAGCGCCATACTCACATGCACTGAGGGCCACTTCGCTGCAGTTGGCATTTGCCATAGTGGCAGTCCAAGGAGTTTTTGTAGCCCGTTGAGCAGGCTGTGACACACTGCAGCTTATTGTCCTTGGACTCCAAGAAGACATACTTTGCATACTCCTCTCCAGCCTGTTTCTGGCATTGCTCTGAGGGGAACATGGAAGAGTTAAGAATCAGGAGGTCTGGCTTTGCCATGCACTGCTCCCTCCCTCCCCCCACCTTTCTGGCCTTTCCCAGAACCGGTCATATTACTTACCTTCAGGAGTGACAAAGTTGGAAACATTTTGCACATTGGTGGCAGAAGAGTTGAAACACAGTGACTCTGTAAAGGAAACACATTGACACTGTCATCGTGGGGATCATGGAGGCTCCTTTAGCAGCTTCCTTTAGCAGCTTCCGGGTGTGTGGGAGAGGGGAAGGGCTGAGACAGTGCTGTGTGATGTGTTCTCAGCAGGCTTGTGTGTTTGAACCCTTGGTTTCCAGATGATGACCCTGTTTGCGGAGACTGTGGGATCTTTATGGTCGGGGCTTCCCTGGTCAATGTAGGAGCCAGGCTGGAAGGCTAGGTAGGCTACTTCACTTTAACCTGAGCCTTCTAGTTTGAGGAATATTTTTCTTTTTTAAGACAATGTCTCACTGTGTGGATAGCTCTGGCTGTCCTGGAATGCAATACATGACCAGGTTGGCCTGGAACTCAGAGATTGACTGCCTCTGACTCTCCAAGGGCTGTGTTTAAGGACATATACCACCACATAGGCCAGCTAAGGACTTCATAAGGAACGGCACAGAGCAGGCTTCTGCTGCCACAGGGCTGCCTGAGCCATGCCTGCCCATCCAGGGGATACTGTATCCCCGAAAACCAGGAACCCAAATACCTCCCTCCTCTTTTGTCTTGTTTTTTTTTTCTACCAGGTTTGGCCACAGCACTTAACTAGTGGGCATGGAAGCCAGAAATTGCAGGAGGAGATGCTAGGCTCTGATGGGCCACACTCAGAGGGTCATGTGTCTCAAAGGGCCTTAATGAGTCTCAGAGGGTCCACACACTACTCATTGTATTTAGAAGATTCACTATGTAGTCAGTCATGGGATGCCCCATCTGTCCCAACTCCGCTTAATATTGACACTTTAGAGGAATTCTCCATCTCTATACTGCTCTGTGTCTTCCCTTCCAAAACTTTCTTGGAGTATTAACAGGAGTGACAAGACCTAGCTCTGGTCAGAGATCCCAGTGTCCCATAATCTCCACCACCTTCCTTCACTGCACCTTATCTGTCCCAGGGTCAAAAACCAGGGAGGTGGGGAGATTAATGAATCATCCTATGAGGACACTTCCCTCCAGAAGTACTTTACCTGAGCAGTTGATATTAATAGCTACATAATATTTGGTTGCATTCTCGATTTTTTCCCTCACAGTACTGCTGGCGTTCTGTAACACACTTTCATATTTATCAGTGTACTTGGCCTTCAGGATTACATCATAATCCACCACGATACTGCCTTTCCTGGGGAGAGAGGATAGTACCCTTGAGCATCCTCCTATGGCCACCCCTGCTACTCATCTTTGACATCCCTTGCCTCCTCTACAATTCTTGGGAGGGATTCCAGGCAAGAGGATTGAGAGCTCAGGGCTAACCTGGGCTATAATAGTGAGTTCAAGCTGGCCTGGAGTACAGAGCAGGACTTTATCAGGAAAGACAGAGACAGAGGGAGATAGAGAGAGACAGAGACAGACACATGCATACACATACACATATCTATCGGGGAACACTGGGGAGATATCTCAGCTAGTTAACAATGTCTTGGTTGCACAAACAGAATTCAGGTATTCAAGTAACCCCGGCACCAGGTAGAGCAGAGGCTGCTGGATCCCTTGATCTCCTTGGCCAGTGAGACTAGTTGAATTGGTGAATCCCTGGCTAAGTGAGAGACCTGGTCACTACAAATAGGGCAGAGACAGAAATTGAAGATGACACCCAGTATAGACCTCTAGTTTCCAAATACATTCTCACGTATGTGCACATGTACCTACACACACACACACACACACACACACACACACACACACACACACCACACAAATATGTATATATGACAAACACACAAGAATTTGGATAGACAGAGGACCCAGGAAAAAGACACCATCCCTTGATCTCCGGGCTCCAGAGATTTCTGTTGTTCAAGCTACAACCATTGGTGTTCCTGTGCACCACCCACAGTGGATTAATGCAGGTAGCCCCCATCCCCCAAATGATCTCTGTAATCATGACCATTTTTCCCATGCAAAAGACCTTCCTGCCAGACCCAGGTACTCACCTCAGCAATTTGATAACAACCCCTTCATACTCAGGGATTCCATCATAAATGTGCTCCATCTGAAAGGTGAGGGGCCAAGGCGTCATCCCAGAAGTCCCACCTGGGGGACGTTCTGTGGGACTTCAGTCCTCCCCAGTCCTCATCCCACCTGGCAGTGACACAGAGACACGGAACGCCCCCTTCCTCTTGCAGCTCCCAGGCCAATCGTGCTTTGCATCCCTCACCTGCCCTGGTAGCTGAGAAGCATGCAACATGCTCAGCTGCCCCCTTAACCGCTCCAGGTGCGGGGTGGGGGTTCTCGCAGGGTTACCTGTTCGGTGAATGTTTTATTGAACTCCTTGAATTCTTCGGATGTTTTGTTCTGTAGCTCTTCAGAGTAGTTGTGGTTGGTTACTGTCACACTCACTTCCACGGTTGCAGAGACTGTGTTATCTAAGAGGAACAGACAGAAGCACCCACCATTGGTTGAGAGGGACCTTTACCAATGAAATCCTCACCCCCGGAAGCCCCACACTGGAGGCAGGGGGTGACACAGGCCTCCTCCAGCATTCTGTCCCCTGGAGGAAGGGAGGCATACTGTATTCCTTAGGGCTTATGGATGACAACTTGATGGGACCTAGGATGCCCCCAAGCTTACGGTAGAGTGACATCCTGATAAGTCCACTACATATCAAACAGTTCATAAATGAAAATTGCATTTAACCTGGGCATTCATCTGGGGAGGGAACTCAGTGGTAGAATGTTTGCTTAGCAAGGACAAAGCTTGGGTTTTGTCTCCAGCAACACATACACACACATACTCCTGCATGCAGTCATGTACACAGAGCATTCAATCCATCTTCAACGCATTCCTGTTTAGGAACACAACCCACTGTGAATGTCAGATGATTACTTCTGTTTTCTTTTTTTTTTGGGGGGGTGACTTTGTGGGGAGACAGGGTCTATATATCCTTGGCTGTCCTGGAACTCACTATGTAGAGGAGGTCAAGCTCGAGCTCATAGAGATTCTCCTGCCTCTGCCTCCCAAGTCTTGGGATTAAAAGTGTGCACCACCATATCTAGTCTGATGGTTTTCTGTGCCCATGTGTCTGCCTGTGGGAGCTACACCAGCATTTAAAGAGAGGATAGCGTCACATGACTCAAGCCCAGGAGAAGACCTGTGTTCAAAATTTGAAGTAGGCATTCCACTGAACAGCTATTACTTTTTAAGCATGATAAAGTAAAAATAAATTCTGAGCTGGGTGGTGATGGCACACGCCTTTAATCCCTGCACTGGGAAGGAAGAGGCAGGTGGATCTCAGTGAGTTTGAGGCCAGCCTGGTCTACAAATCAAGTTCCAGGATAGCCAGGACTGTTACATAGAGAAACCCTGTCTTGAAACCCACCCCTAAAATAAAATAAATTCCAACCCTGGTTGGGTGTGCACCTGTAGCTGTGTGTTGAGGCCAGAGGACAGCATCCACTATTGCTACTCAGACACCATTGACTTTGTTTTCTGATATAGGGTCTCTCACTGCCATGGAAATGGGCAAGTAGGCAGGCTGGCTGGTCAGCTAGCCCCAGGGATCTGCTTGGCTCTGCCTCCCCCAGGGCTGGTACCACAAGGAGGCACAACCACGCCCCCTCTTTTTTTCTACATTAGGTTCTAGGGATTTAACTCAGGCCCTCACGCTTTTATGGCAAGCATGTTACCAACCAAGCTATCCTTCCAGCCCAAAGTAAAAAAGCTACAACTCCGGGGTGGTAAACCGGGGACCACCCCTCTGCAAATACATTGTGGTTATTTAGGTTGGAGTTTTTGTAGGATGCCTACCATTGGGGTATTCTGACTCTTTTTCATGCTCTTAGGACCCATTTCCTCCCACTGGGCTGCCTCTACTAGCCTTGATATGAGGGTGTGTGCCTAGTCTTATTGTAACTTGCTATGTTTTGTTTGGTTGATGTCCCTGGGAGGCCTGCTCTTTTTTTTTTTTTTTTTTTCAGGGAAACAGAGGAGGAATGGATCTGGGGGAAAGGGGAGGTGTCAGGAGGGACTGGAAGGATTGAAGGGAGGGGAAGATATGGTCGGGATTTATTCTATGAGAGAAGAATAAATAAAAGGAAACAGTAACATGTTTGAGACAGGATGTTACAATGTAGCTCAGGCTGGTCTTGAACTTTTGACTATCCTGTCTCAGCCTCCCGAGTGCTGGGTTTATAGGTCTAAGCCACTATGTCTACCTTTGTACTCATTTAACTACATTTCTGTTAAAATTCTGTGATGAATTTATATTTTGTTTCAAGACATACCTTCTTGATCGATTCTTATTTACTTTTATTAAGCATTTTGGAGGTTTATTTTATTTTACACATGTAGGTGTGCTGTGTGCATGTATATCTGTGCACCGTGCCTACACATGGTGCACATGGAGGCGAGAGAGAGTCTTGGATCTCCTGGAACTGGAGTTACAGATGATTGTTAACCACCATGTCGATGCTAGGAACTGAACCTGGGTCCTTTGCAAGAGCAGCCAGTGCTCTAACCACTGAGCCACCTCTCCAGCCCCTACTTATTTATTCTTGTGTGTGTACTGTTGGTGTGGTGTGTGCATGTGGTCCTGTGAGGATGTGAGCACCACGTGCACCTGCACCTGGAGGTCAGAGGTCAACATCAAGTATCTTTCTTCATCGATTTCCACCTTATTTTATAAGATAGGGTCTCATGGGACTTGGAGAGAGCCAGTTTGGGTAGGCTGGGTGGCCAACGAGCTCTAAGAACCCATTGTTCCCTGCCTTCCCCCATCTGGGATTAGGGGTACACACTGCCACACCCAGCTTTTTGCTTGGGTGCTGGGGACTGAGCACTTTACCAACTGAGGTGTCTCTTCATATGTATGTATGTATGTATGTATGTATATTTAGCTACTTTGTAAAAAATATTTTTAAAGCATTTTTACCACTAGGTGAAAGTGTGATATTTGGTGACCGGAGTGATAGATAGTTCAGTGATTAGCAGGGTATATTGCATTTGTGGGAGACCGGGGTTCAGTTCCCAGAAGCCTGGTGAGGCAGCTCACAATCACCTGTAACTCAAGTTTTAGGTGATCCAACACTTTGTTCTGGCCTCTGTGGGTGCTCACACATATGGCACATGCATGTGTGAACACACCCATACACACACACACATGCTCACACACATAAATAGATATTTTTTAAAACCATAAGCCATAGAGGTAGGACAAGGACAGGTGCCTGCTGGGGGCCTGGCACTTTGTGGTTCTGTTGAATTTTCACTTACCTATCTCAATGCTATCCACCACCTCCTCACACCTTGGCCCATGGAAGAGGCTGGTGCACTGACATTTGAGCCCATCCCACATGCCTCCATTCTGGCAGGCGACAGTGGGGACTCTATTCTGACAGCGATCCCCTGTGAAGCCATTGGGGCAAAGACAGATTTCTCCATTCCAGGACCCTCCATTCATGCAGGTCACTGCAAGAGACCAAGGCAAGATGCAGCACACACATTTGTACAGTAAGCTACAACTTGACATGTTCCAGACACTGTTGCCTCTTACTCTTTCTTTCCTCTTTTTCTTTTTCCTTTATTCTCGTTTCTTTCTCCTTTTAAAAATTCCTTTCTTTCCCTTCCTCCCCTATTTTCTGAGACAGTTTCTCACTATGTAGCTTAGGTTGGCTTTGGACTTGCAATCCTATTGCCTCCTAGGATGAGAGGTCAGGAATGTGCCACCATGTCTGGTTTACACCCAGCAATCTTGCAATGTCAGACATTCTGACCAGACCCTACATTCACAGGGCAGTCAGCGTTACCCTCACTTCACAGACAGAAGCAGAGTAGACAGAATCCTGTCCAAGCGTCCAGAGAGCTTGACTTGACCCTGTCCTGGAGTCCAGCCCCACCACATAATCTCAAAAGCACAGAGGAGAAGACAGTTGTGAAGTAAGTGACATTATATTGGAAGCAGAGACAGAGACTGGGTGAATCTGGGCTGCTGGACCAGTGGAGAGTTCCCCAAGGTTAAGAGAGGCATCAAGCTTCAACACCCTTCAACACCCAGGAAGAGTCTGGGCTGGAACGTTGGGCTGTTACAACTGCTTATAGTTTCTGCCAGCCAGAGACATAGAGCTTGATAGAGAGACAGTGTTAGATAGTTGGTAGTTACTTATACTCCACATGCTCTGTGCAGGTCAGCTTGAAATAGCTGAAATTCTCTTTGTCTAATTTTACTTAATGCAGTGTGTGTGTGTGTGTGTGTGTGTGTGTGTGTGTGTGTGTGTGTGTAGGCCAGTGCTTGTGTCAAGTGTCTTTATCAGCTGCTCCCCACACTCAGTACTTATATCTTTATATTTAGGTCATGTCTCACTGAGCCTAGAGCTCTCTGATGTCACTAGTCTTGCTGGCCAGCTAACCTCAGGGATCCTCCTGTGGCTGCCTCTGACTAGCCTGCTCAGCTTTTTATGTGGGTTCTGAGAATTTGGGAAGCCCACATCCTTCCACAGCTCCGCTTTAGTGACTGAGCCATCTTCCCAAACCTCATTCATCTATTTCCTCACTCATTTTCAGGATCTCTCTCTCTCTCTCTCTCTCTCTCTCTCTCTCTTTCTCTCTCTCCCCTCTGCTTCTCTCTCTCATATATAGTCTGAACTAGGCTGAAACATACTATGTAACCAAGGTTATCTTCAAGCTTTCAATTTTCTGGCTTTGGCCTCCTGAGTGGATGGATTACTGGCTCCAGTCATAATGTTCAATGTCAGTTAAGGTTTTAAAGCATTTGCATTATATATATATATATATATATATATATATATATATATATATATATATATCCCTTTCCAAAGAAGGATGGTGATAAAGAAAACCTTACACTTGAAAATGAATCCTTCATATAAAATATAAATTATAGAATATATAATGGAACAAGTGTAGACTGCTGGGAGAGAGAGTTTCATGGGAGCCCATCACATCAAAACTAGAGAGAAGAGTCTATAGGCAAAACATAAGAAAAATTGGTAAGATTCAGGTTCCTCCAAAGAGATCACTGGAGAGTAAAGACTGCATAGAATGGAGTCAAACTTTTGATAAGAAAAGCAAATAAGAGATAATGATGGAAGACAGGAGCTAAGGTACCTGTGATTGTCACTGACAAACAGGTCTTGCAAAACAGAAAAACCAAACCAAACCAAAACAAAACAAAAAAACCCAAACCCTTAATATTTAAGTACAAACAAGGACCAAAGTTGGGGGCGGGGGTGAGTCAGATCAGGTTTGGTGATATCACAGAAAAATTTAAAAAGTAAGTGATGCAGAGAGAGAAACACAGAAAATCAAAAGAAAATAACACCTCGAGGTGTTTGCAACAAAAATGCCTGTATGTGTGTGTGTGTGTGTGTGTGAATGCATATGTGTGTGTATGAGTGTGTGTGTGTGTGTGTGTGTGTGTGTGTGCCTGCCTATGTCTGTGACTGTGTCTATGTATGTAGGTGAAGATGAAACACAGTTGGGTGGCCTGCTGTAGAAAGCAAAGGATTAGGAAAAGAGGCAGAAGAAGACAAAGTTTATGTTAGGATTATATGACTAAAAAAAAGTGAAAATACAAATGACAAATAAGAAAGACTGTGCCAAATAATAGAGAGGAAACACATAGAGGAAACAAAAAATGAGAGAAATGAAATAAGATATTGCACTATAGGAAAGAAATTAAATATAAGACCTGAAGAGGAAAATAATGAAAAGAAAAATGAAAATAATGAAAAGGATGACTCATATGAAAGAATATACACACAAATCATAATAAAAATATATGTACAAGAAAATAAAATGAATCCACATTACCTGCAGCTGTGGTAGACACAGAGGTGGTGGTACGTTTCAGAGTAGTCGTAGATTGAGTGGTGGTGGTCAGTTCAGGAGGGGTGGTGACATCAGGAGTGGTGGTGACATCTGTTGTGGTGACATCAGTGGTTGTGGTGACATCAGGAGTGGTGGTGACATCAGTGGTTGTAGTGACATCAGTGGTTGTAGTGACATCAGTGGTTGTGGTGACATCAGGAGTGGTGGTGACATCAGCAGTGGTGGTGACACCAGTGGTTGTGGTGACATCAGCGGTTGTTGTGACATCAGGAGTGGTGGTGCCATCAGTGATTGTGGTGACATCAGGAGTGGTGGTGACATCTGTTGTGGTGGTGACATCTGGAGTGGATGTAACATCAGTTGTTGTGGTGGCATCAGTGGTTGTGGTGACATCAGTGGTTGTGGTGACATCAGGTGTGGTGGTGACATCAGGAGTGGTGGTGACATCGGTGGTTGTGGTGACATCAGTGGTTGTGGTGACATCAGTGGTTGTCGTGACATCAGGTGTGGTGGTGACATCAGTGGTTGTGGTGACATCAGTGGTTGTGGTGGCATCAGGAATGGTGGTGGCATCAGTGGTTGTGGTGGCATCAGTGGTTGTGGTGGCATCAGGAGTGGTGGTGACATCAGGAGTGGTGGTGGTATCAGTGGTTGTGGTGACATCAGGAGTGGTGGTGACATCAGTGGTTGTGGTGGCATCAGTGGTTGTGGTGGCATCAGGAGTGGTGGTGACATCAGTGGTTGTGGTGACATCAGGAGTGGGGGTGACATCAGCAGTGGTGGTGACATCAGTGGTTGTGGTGGCATCAGTGGTTGTGGTGGCATCAGGAGTGGTGGTGACATCAGTGGTTGTTGTGACATCAGCAGTGGTAGTGACATCAGTGGTTGTGGTGGCATCAGTGGTTGTGGTGGCATCAGGAGTGGTGGTGGCATCAGTGGTTGTGGTGGCATCAGGAGTGGTGGTGACATCAGTGGTTGTGGTGACATCAGGAGTGGGGGTGACATCAGCAGTGGTGGTGACATCAGTGGTTGTGGTGGCATCAGTGGTTGTGGTGGCATCAGGAGTGGTGGTGACATCAGTGGTTGTTGTGACATCAGCAGTGGTAGTGACATCAGTGGTTGTGGTGACATCAGTGGTTGTGGTGACATCAGTGGTTGTGGTGGCATCAGGAGTGGTGGTGACATCAGGAGTGGTGGTGGTATCAGTGGTTGTGGTGACATCAGGAGTGGTGGTGACATCAGTGGTTGTGGTGGCATCAGTGGTTGTGGTGGCATCAGGAGTGGTGGTGACATCAGTGGTTGTGGTGACATCAGGAGTGGGGGTGACATCAGCAGTGGTGGTGACATCAGTGGTTGTGGTGGCATCAGTGGTTGTGGTGGCATCAGGAGTGGTGGTGACATCAGTGGTTGTGGTGACATCAGTGGTTGTGGTGACATCAGGAGTGGTGGTGCCATCAGTGGTTGTGGTGACATCAGGAGTGGTGGTGACATCAGTGGTTGTAGTGATATCAGTGGTTGTGGTGGCATCAGGAGTGGTGGTGGCATCAGTGGTTGTGGTGGCGTCAGGAGTGGATGTAACATCAGTTGTTGTGGCATCAGTGGTTGTGGTGGCATCAGTGGTTGTGGTGGCATCAGGAGTGGTGGTGGCATCAGTGGTTGTGGTGACATCAGGAGTGGTGGTGACATCAGTGGTTGTAGTGACATCAGTGGTTGTAGTGACATCAGTGGTTGTGGTGACATCAGGAGTGGTGGTGACATCAGCAGTGGTGGTGACACCAGTGGTTGTGGTGACATCAGCGGTTGTTGTGACATCAGGAGTGGTGGTGGTATCAGTGGTTGTGGTGACATCAGGAGTGGTGGTGGCATCAGTGGTTGTGGTGGCATCAGTGGTTGTGGTGACATCAGGAGTGGTGGTGGTGGCATCAGTGGTTGTGGTGGCATCAGGAGTGGTGGTGGCATCAGTGGTTGTGGTGACAACTGGAGAGGATGTAACATCAGTTGTTGTGGTGGCATCAGTGGTTGTCATGACATCAGTGGTTGTGGTGGCATCAGTGGTTGTGGTGACATCAGTGGTTGTTGTGACATCAGCAGTGGTAGTGACATCAGTGGTTGTGGTGACATCAGTGGTTGTGGCGACATCAGGAGTGGTGGTGCCATCAGTGGTTGTGGTGACATCAGGAATGGTGGTGACATCAGTGGTTGTGGTGGCATCAGTGGTTGTGGTGGCATCTGGAGTGGTGGTGGCATCAGTGGTTGTGGTGGCATCAGGAGTGGATGCAACATCAGTTGTTGTGGCATCAGTGGTTGTGGTGGCATCAGTGGTTGTGGTGGCATCAGTGGTTGTGGTGGCATCAGTGGTTGTGGTGACATCAGGAGTGGTGGTGACATCAGCGGTGGTGGTTGCATCAGTGGTTGTGGTGACATCAGGAGTGGTGGTGACATCAGCAGTGGTGGTGACACCAGTGATTGTGGTGACATCAGCAGTTGTTGTGACATCAGGAGTGGTGGTGGCATCAGTGGTTGTGGTGGCATCAGGAGTGGTGGTGGCATCAGTGGTTGTGGTGACATCTGGAGTAGATGTAACATCAGTTGTTGTGGCATCAGTAGTTGTGGTGGCATCAGTGGTTGTGATGACATCAGTGGTTGTGGTGACATCAGGAGTGATGGTGCCATCAGTGATTGTGGTGACATCAGGAGTGGTGGTGACATCAGTGGTTGTGGTGGCATCAGTGGTTGTTGTGACATCAGGAGTGATGGTGCCATCAGTGATTGTGGTGACATCAGGAGTGGTGGTGACATCAGTGGTTGTGGTGGCATCAGTGGTTGTGGTGGCATCAGGAGTGGTGGTGGCATCAGTGGTTGTGGTGGCATCAGGAGTGGTGGTGGCATCAGTGGTTGTGGTGGCATCAGGAGTGGTGGTGACATCGGTGGTTGTTGTGACATCAGCAGTGGTAGTGACATCAGTGGTTGTGGTGACATCAGTGGTTGTGGTGACATCAGGAGTGGTGGTGGCATCAGTGATTGTGGTGACATCAGGAGTGGTGGTGACATCAGCAGTGGTGGTGACATCAGTGGTTGTAGTGACATCAGTGGTTGTGGTGACATCAGGAGTGGTGGTGAAATCAGCGGTGGTGGTGACACCAGTGGTTGTGGTGACATCAGTTGTTGTTGTGACATCAGGAGTGATGGTGCCATCAGTGATTGTGGTGACATCAGGAGTGGTGGTGACATCAGTGGTTGTGGTGGCATCAGTGGTTGTGGTGGCATCAGGAGTGGTGGTGGCATCAGTGGTTGTGGTGCCATCAGGAGTGGTGGTGGCATCAGTGGTTGTGGTGACATCAGGTGTGGTGGTGGCATCAGTGGTTGTGGTGACATCGGGAGTGGTGGTGATATCAGCAGTGGTGGTGACTTCAGTGGTTGTCGTGACATCAGTGATTGTGGTGACATCAGGAGTGGTGGTGACATCAGCGGTGGTGGTTGCATCAGTGGTTGTGGTGACATCAGGAGTGGTGGTGACATCAGCAGTGGTGGTGACATCAGTGGTTGTGGTGACATCAGAAGTGGTGGTGACATCAGCAGTGGTGGTGACATCAGTGGTTGTAGTGATATCAGTGGTTGTGGTGACATCAGTGGTTGTGGTGACATCAGGAGTGGTGGTGACACCAGGAGTGGTGGTGACATCAGTGGTTGTGGTGACATCAGGAGTGGTGGTGACATCAGTGGTTGTGGTGGCATCAGTGGTTGTGGTGGCATCAGGAGTGGTGGTGACATCAGTGGTTGTGGTGACATCAGGAGTGGTGGTGACATCAGTGGTTGTGGTGGCATCAGTGGTTGTGGTGGCATCAGGAGTGGTGGTGGCATCAGTGGTTGTGGTGGCATCAGGAGTGGTGGTGGCATCAGTGGTTGTGGTGACATCTGGAGCGGATGTAACATCAGTTGTTGTGGCATCAGTAGTTGTGGTGGCATCAGTGGTTGTGGTGGCATCAGTGGTTGTGGTGACATCAGGAGTGGTGGTGACATCAGCAGTGGTGGTGACATCAGTGGTTGTGGTGATATCAGTGGTTGTGGTGACATCAGTGGTTGTGGTGACATCAGGAGTGGTGGTGACACCAGGAGTGGTGGTGACATCAGTGGTTGTGGTGACATCAGGAGTGGTGGTGACATCAGTGGTTGTGGTGGCATCAGTGGTTGTGGTGGCATCAGGAGTGGTGGTGGCATCAGTGGTTGTGGTGGCATCAGGAGTGGTGGTGGCATCAGTGGTTGTGGTGACATCTGGAGCGGATGTAACATCAGTTGTTGTGGCATCAGTAGTTGTGGTGGCATCAGTGGTTGTGGTGGCATCAGTGGTTGTGGTGACATCAGGAGTGGTGGTGACATCAGGAGTGGTAGTGCCATCAGTGGTTGTCATGACATGAGGAGTGGTGGCATCAGTGGTTGTGGTGACATCAGTGGTTGTGGTGACATCAGGAGTGGTGGTGACATCAGGAGTGGTGGTGACATCAGTGCTTGTGGTGACATCAGGAGTGGTGGTGACATCAGTGGTTGTGGTGACATCTGGAGTGGTGGTGACATCAGTGGTTGTGGTGGCATCAGTGGTTGTGGTGGCATCAGGAGTAGTGGTGGCATCAGTGGTTGTGGTGGCATCAGTGGTTGTCATGACATCAGTGGTTGTCGTGACATGAGGAGTGGTGGCATCAGTGGTTGTGGTGACATCAGGTGTGGTGATGGCATCAGTGGTTGTGGTGGCATCAGTGGTTGTGGTGGCATCAGGAGTGGTGGTGCCATCAGTGGTTGTGGTGACATCAGGAGTGGTGGTGACATCAGTGGTTGTGGTGGCATCAGTGGTTGTGGTGGCATCTGGAGTGGTGGTGGCATCAGTGGTTGTTGTGACATCAGGAGTGGTGGTGACATCAGGAGTGGTGGTGCCATCAGTGGTTGTGGTGGCATCAGTGGTTGTGGTGACATCAGGAGTGGTGGTGACATCAGTGGCTGTGGTGACATCAGGAGTAGTGGTGACATCAGGAGTGGTGGTGACATCGGTGGTTGTCGTGATGTCAGGAGTGGTCGTGACATCAGTGGTTGTCGTGACATCAGTGGTTGTCGTGACATCAGGAGTGGTGGTGACATTAGTGGTTGTCGTGACATCTGTTTTGGTGGTGACATCAGTGGTTGTGACATCACGAGTAGTGTTGGCATCAGTGGTTTTGGTGGCATCAGTGGTTTTGGTGGCATCAGTGGTTGTGGTGACATCAGGAGTAGTGGTGACATCAGGAGTGGTGGTGACATCGGTGGTTGTGGTGACATCAGTGGTTGTCGTGACATCTGTTTTGGTGGTGACATCAGTGGTTGTGGTGACATCAGGAGTGGTGGTGACATCAGTGGTTGTGGTGACATCAGGAGTAGTGGTGACATCAGGAGTGGTGGTGACATCGGTGGTTGTGGTGACATCAGTGGTTATGGTGACATCTGTTTTGGTGGTGACATCAGTGGTTGTCATGACGTCAGTTTTTGTCGTGACATCAGGAGTGGTGGTGACATCAGTGGTTGTCGTGGCATTAGTGGTTGTCGTGACATCTGTTTTGGTGGTGAAATCAGTGGTTTTGCTTCTACCTTTTTCTTCATCATCCAAGTCTGTTAATTTGTAACTCCTCTCTGTTGTAGGAGTGGATATTTTGTTAAAGCTAATTTAGTGATATTATGAACCTTGTTTTTTCATTCTAATCCTAGTCTCTGTGATTTCCTTAGTCTGGTTTCTTGTTATTCATTGGCACAGAATATTGAAATATAAAAATAATTTTAGTCCTTTTTTCTGGTATTAGTTTGTGTAGGTTTATGGTTTTTACCTGTTAATTTGTGTGTCTTATTTTTTGTTTCTGTTTAATTTCTGTAGTTATCACAATGGATTATCTTGTTTTCCTTGTCTAGGTCGTAAGATTTTTCAATCATGTCTCCTTACTATTGTTCATCACTCTTTAATGGTTTTCCTTAGCAGTAGCAGCCTTAATCATGGATCCATTCTTTATGTAAAAAGAAATCCTTTTATTTCTTTCATTGTTACTTCATTCTATTAATCAACTGAAATATGGTTATCTCAGTTTTCAACGGCAATGTTATTGTAACTGTGTTTACCTATTTTGTTATGTTTCTTTCACATTTATGTACCTGAAGTTTCAGGAGGTGTTGCTATGTGTGCATGATCTTCATATTACAGTCAGAGGACCTCTTGGAAGAGGTTTTCCTGACCTCTACCCTTAGGTCCTATGGATTAATTGTGGGTTGCTTTCTTGACTGCAAACCCTCTCTGTTCTGCCTTCTTAGCCTATCAAGTTCCATGGGTTCCTTTCCACCCTCCCTGTCTGTCTTTCTAGTCCCACATCTTTTCTTTGTCCTTTGCATGTTTCCATCAGTTACACTGTGCAAACTGTGGTCTCTTTTGTCCCCTCTTGATTCCTCTGTTTTGGGGAATGGACCCCTTGCCTGCGTCTCTCTGCAATGGCCTTGCTCCATCTGCTTTCCTGGCTTGTTTTTTGTCAAGCTCACACATGCATGTCGGAATTATTTGGGAGGAGAAACTTGCATAATTCGTGCCTCTGTCACATTCTACATAGTAAGCAAGTGTGTCAGGCCTTTTCTTCCATTTTCACCCTTTCATTTTTCTTTTTCTTTTTTAAATTTGAGGCAGGGTCTCACCAAGTAATTCTATTTGTACTGGAACTCACAGCAACCCACCTGATTTTGCCCCTCAAGTGCTGTGATTAAAGAAACTGTCCATTGCAACTGGTTTGCAAGGTTTTTTTTTTTTCCTTGTTTAATGATTGGTGTCCGAGGATCCAGCCCAGCATGGGTGGTCCCTCCCTTGGGAGAGTGATCCTGGGTAGCATAAGAAATCTGATGGAGCCACTGTCCTCCAGAAGCGCTGCTCCAGCTCCTGCCACTACATTCCTGCCTTGAAATCCTTGCTGGGGCTTCCCCAACTGACTGTGTCGAATGAGGGTCCCCCCTTCCTGTGCTTCAATGCCTCTTCTCCTTGCTGGTCACAGTAGTGGGACTATTTGGGAAGGGGTCAGAGGTGTGCCTTGTTGAAGGAGGTATGCCCCTGGGGATGGGCTTGGAGGTTTCAAGAGACAGACATCATTCCCAGGGTGTGTCTCTCTGCCTCGTGGTTGTGTCTGACAATGTGAACCCTCAACTCTTGCTCCAGTGCCTGCCTGCTGCCTGCCTGCCGCCATGCTCCCTGTGATGACAGGCATGGATCCCAACCCTCTGACACCACAGCCACATATTAAGTACAACTGGAAGTGTGTGCCAAATAAATCATTTCCTCCCCAAGTTGCTGCTGGCGGTGATATTTATCGTAGCAATAGGAAGCACATTAAAATACCTTTGTGTTCACTCTTCATTGTCGTCTGGCACTGAGTGTTCTGGCCGTCCTCTTGGGAGCTGCATCCTCCTCCATCCCACACATCCCTGCTTCCGGTGATCTCTGAAAGAGAGACAGGGTTGTTGGTCCTCATGAATCACCAACCTCCTTTCTTTACTGAGTCCTTCTCGCTTTCACTCCCGCTGAGCTCTTACTTCCTACTCCAGAAAAAGAGTTAACCATGGGGCCAGGGAGTCAGGAAATATGCACTGACCTTGTCCACCAAAGAAGCCTATCTAGAACAAAGTCTTAATTTATGAATCACCAAAAAATTGACCTTTATGTGTTTCTAAACAAGTAATGACCAAAAAGTTATTCAAAATCAAAGCGTAATAACCCTGAAACGTTTGTGGCAACTCACTCCTGTAGCCTTGGATGTGAGCACAGACCTCTTTGTGCCCTGTGTGCCGTTGTCTGTCTAACAACAATGCTGTCTGCAACACCTCAGCCCCGATTCACCACATTCTAGCCTATAAATCGTAGCATTTTTACTATGCATTTGAAGCTTTTGCTCTTGGAACTTGGAGAGATGTCCTAGGTGGTAAAAGTACTTGCTGTGCAAGCATGAGGACCTGAGTTCAATCCCCAGGACCCACATGAAAACCTGGACCCTTTACAGGGCGGTGCTGACTCCCCTGCCCCGGAAAATGATGTTTCAGTATCACCGGACAGAAAAGGACAATGGTTCCTGGGAGATGCGAAGAGAACCTACGATCACCTCAGGATTTCCTGGAAGTGATGGGAGAGGTGAACACAGGTTGGAGCATAAAGATTCCCTGAGCTGGGGAGATGCTATGGCAAGCGTCTTGAGAGATGCAGCCACCTAGAGCTCACGATGCAGAGCTTCCTCAACAGAGAGAGCTTGCTGGCTAGAGAAGATGCCTCCTTAACAGTGGTTCTCAACCTTCCTAATGCTGTGACCCTGTAATGCAGTTCATCGTGTTGTGGCGAGCCCCAACCATAAAACTTTCGTTACTACTTCATAACTGTGAGTTTGCTCCTGTTATGAATCGTAATGTAAATATCTGTGTTTTTCCGATGGTCATAGGTGACCCTTGATAGGGTCTTTCAACTCCCAAAGAGGTTGTGACCCACAGTTGAGGACTTTGTTGTATAAGCTCAGGCTGTAGGCAAGCGTGTAGAGTATTTTCTTAATTAGAGATTGATGTGGGAAGGGTGGAGCCATCCCTGCTGTTGTCCTGGGTTCTATAAGAAAGCAGGCTGAGTAAGCCAGGGAACAAGCCAGTAAGCAGCATCTCTCCTGCCTCAGCTCCTGCCTCCAGGTTCCTGCCCTGCTTGAGTTTCTACCCTGATCTCCTTCCACAATGGACAGTGATTTGGAAATGTAAGCCAAATCAGCTTTTTCCTCCCCAAGTTTCTTTGGTCATGGTGTTTCATCACAGCAAGAGAAACTCTAAGTAGGGCAGAGAGATACAGAGACTGTAGAGATGAGCACTGGCTTCTCCTTGTGGATGATTAAGCTCAGTGCTAGTTAGTACACAACTCTGAACAAAGTGCCCGAGGCCAGAGAGACTGTGTAGGAGGAGATGAGAAGGAACAGGAGCTTGAGCTCACTGTCACATAGGAAAGAGTACTGCTCCTAGGGGTCAGGCTAGAGAAGCCTGAAGCTCACAGGACACTGAAGAAAGGACATGCGATGGTTTTGCTTCACTAAAAGAAAATGACAGCAGGGCGTGGTGACTTGGAACATCAATCCTCAATACACAACAGGCTGAGGCAGGAGGATCACATAAGTTTGAAGCTAGCATGGACTATCCTATCTGAAAATAGAGGTTAGAAGAGTTAGGGGAAGCAGAATGAGGGTAGGGGGACATGGCTCAGTGGTAGAGCACCTGCCTAGAATCCCCCAGTGAGGGGCTGGGGTGTGGCTCAGTGGTAGAGCACCTGCCTAGAATCCCCCAGTGAGGGGCTGGGCTGTGGCTCAGTGGTAGAGCACCTGCCTAGAATCCCCCAGTGAGGGGCTGGGCTGTGGCTCAGTGGTAGAGCTCTGGCTTAGAATCTCCCAGTGAGGGGCTGGGATGTGGCTCAGTGGTAGAGCACTGCCTAGAATCACCTAGTGAGGGGCTGGGGTATGGCTCAGTGGTAGAACACCTGCCTAGAATCCCCCAGTGAGGGGTTGGGGTGTGGCTCAGGGAGAAAGAGTTCTTGCTTGCTTAGCATGTGCTAAGGTCCCCAGGGTTCAATCTCCAACACCGCACAAAAAATTTATTAGTTATGATAATTCTTTTGGACAACTTTAAACAGCATAATGCACATGAAATAATTTGAATTCAAGAAAAGTAAGGGAACCAAAAAGTATGTAAAAAATAATGTCCCTGAAATAACAAACACAAAATAACTCTAAGTTCACTCGTTCAAGGAGTTCAACCCCTCCAAACACAAAACACACAGAGGAAATGTCTTCCTATTCCATCCAAAATGTTCCTATTCTATAGCTATTAACAGCTGTCTCCAGTACATTTTACAGCTTAGACTAAATGAACAGATACCCTGAAATATAAACAACAAAAGCTCACTAAAAAAGAATCAGATTAGGGAACAGCAAGATGGCTCATTACCTAAAGGTGATTGCCTCCAAGACTTAACAATCCAAGTTCAACTCCCTGCCCTCCCAGCCCTTGGGAGGTGGAGACAAGGCAATCTTAAGTTCAAGGTGAACCTTGAGTACATGATTGGTTTGAGGGCAGGTGAGAGTTCCCAGACTTGTTATCTGAAGACTGTGAACTTATTGAGGTCTCTCAGTGCAAAGGACACTGTTGGACAGGTCAGGGCATGGTCCTATCAGCTCCCAGAACTAATTGTTTTTATAGCAGAGATGGACCAAAGGAGTTTCTAGTCCCACCCAGTGTGTCCGTGCCTGACACTTAAAAGGAAGCTGTGTCAGATACCAGAGTCCAAGTGTTCACATCCAGTCACCCCTGCACCATCCTCAGTAGCCCTGACCCTGCTGACTCCTCAGTGGGGGAAGAGCACAAGGAAGTGCCAGCTGGTAGGACAAAGGGGACAGGGATGGTGGAGCAAGGAGATTGGACCAGGCTGTGGACAGGTGCGGGAGGCTGATGCACGGGAAGACCCTGCCAGTTCATTTACACACACACACACACACACACACACACACACACACACACACACACACACGCACACGCACACGCCTGTGGAGGCCAGAGGACAAACTTGACTATCATTCCTCAGGTGCCATGCATTTTGGTTTTTTGAGACAGGGACTCCCATTGGTCTAAAATTGCCAAGTAGGCTGAGCTGTCTAAGTCAGGAACCCTGGGGTCCCCCCTGACTCTGCCTTTCTGATTATAAGCTGCACCACCGAGTCTGACTTTTATTTTTAAAGATGCTATCTATTTTTGTGTATGTGGCTACGAGTCCATGGGTGTCCAGGTACCCGAGGAGGCCAGAAGAGGGCAGTGGATTCCCCTTGCACCTCAAGCTACAGGTGATGGTGAGCCTCCCAATGTGGAAGCTCTTACCCACTTGAGCTCTCCCTTCAGCCCCCTCCCCAGCTTTTTTCTGTGGCTTCCGAGAAGCAAGCTTAGGTTCACTGTGCTTGCCTTTCCTGACTCAGCTACCTACCTCCCTGTTTTGCTTTCTTTTTTGTTTTTTGTATATAATAAAGTCACCTTATTATATAGAACTCACAAATAAAAAGATCACACAGCCACTTTAAGGAAGCTACTCAAACATCTGCCAGGTCTAAGGGCTATGTATTGTATGTATCTCAGTGAACATCTGCCTCTCTCCACCACCAGCTCACCTCCCCCAAATTTATTCATTCATTCACACATTCATTCATTAATTCATTCTCTCTCTCAATTCCTTTCTTTTTTTTTTTTGAGGCAGGGTTTCTCTGTGTAGCTCTGACTGTCCTGGTACTCACTCTGTAGAGCAGGCTGGTCTCTAACTCATAGAGATCCACCTGCCTATGCCTTCCTAGTGCTGGGATTAAAGGTGTAGCTCTCCACATCCATCTTCCCAATGTTATTTCTGGCTAACAACAATTATTTTCATCTCTATTTATTTATGACTTATTTATTTATTTGGGGATGGTCTCATGTGCCCCCCACACGTGGGTGGAAGTCCGAGGACAACTTTCAGAAGTTGGTTCCCTCCTTCCATCGTGTAGGACCCAGGGATCAGACTCAGGTGGTCAGGCTTGAGCAAATGCCTTTACCTGTTGAGCCATCTCACTGGCTCAGCAATTGCTACTGTAAAGGAAGCCCTTGAACTGGGGCTGCAGCTCAGTGTAAAATGCTTGCCTAGCTAGCATGAGGCCCTGAGTTGGAACCCAGCACCACAGGAGAAAAAAAAGAAAGAAAATAAGGGAGGGAGGAAGGAAAGAAAGGAGAAAGGGGGAGGGGGGGAGGAAATCGGGGAAGAATCAAACCCAGCTACCTCATCTGCCCACCTCCCCTCATTTTTCTGTTATTTGCATTGAAGCCCTAACCCCCAGCACCTCGGGAGATCCCTGTCTGTTAAGTTTTGTTTTGCTGTGGCAACCTTGCAAGGCATCGTGTCAAACAGGTCATTCACGTGATCCCTAACCCAGCATCATCACGTGATCCCTAACCCAGCATCACCAGTGTCCTTATTCTTGGGAAGATACCTGGACCCAACACAGGTGTGAATGTGGGGAGAATGTCACGGAGACGAAGAACGCAGAGATTTGCCAGCAGCCATCAGGCTCTCGGGGGACAGACCCTTGCAGAGTGCCTTCTAAATGAATGAGGTGGGCTGGTGAAATGGCTCGGCAGGTAAAGACACTTGGCAACTAATATGATGGCCTGAGTCGCATCCCTGGATCCCAGCCCTCTGACCATCCCTTCAACACACACAAAATAAATTAAAGCAACAGTAACAACAAAGATGGCCACCCTGCTTGACCCCTCCAACCAGAAATGTGAGATGAGAATTCTCTGCCATTCTAAGCCACCCAGGTTGTGGATTGTCACTATGGCAACTCGGGGGTGGGACAGTGATAGTAATAAAAGATGGGTCAAGTGTCTGGGACTAGTGAAAGGTAGTGAGTGAGATGGCACTTATGGACGGGAGACTCTGAGCCTTAGTCACTGTCATCATGGATGCGGGGACAGGAGGGTGTGATTGCTAAGGCTGAATAGTTGTAGGCAAGCCCAGAGGAAACTGTGTCTCATTGATACCTAAGAAGATAAGAGGGCATCTTCCAGGCAGGGCTTAGCTGAGTTCACTGGGTTTTTCTGTAGCTACACCCTACCCTGTCATAGCCAAGTCCAGTGGCCTTGAAGAGGCGTAGTGCCCTGGGTCCCTGGATAAGGATCATAGTAGGAACCAGATGCTAATGGACTCTGATCAGGATCCTAGAGACCAGGCCTCGAGGAGGAGGGAGTGTATAAAACTCAGCAGAGCAGAAAGAATCTGGAAATTTCCATTCTACAGAGGGGGAAATCGAGAATAGAGATGAATGGGTCATATATAGCATAGGGGGTAGACCAAGGTGGGGGTAAGAAAGTCGTGGAGAGGAGATACAGAAAGAGGAGAGAGGGTAGAGGAGAGAGAGAATGGGGTGGATGGAAGACAGGACCCTGGGAAGCTCCTGCCCTGCTGGGACCCTATAGGAGTTTAAATGCTACCAGCGAAAGAGCTGCCCTCATCTGTCCTGCCCCTCCATGCCAAGTCCTCACAGAGAAGAGCTGGCGGGGGCATGGCCCAAGGGGCAGTCCCTGGCAAAGCGAGTTCCAAGGCAGAACAAAGTCTAAAGCAGGTCTTTATAAAGATGGCATCTTGAACAAGGGAACTCCGCTCGCTCGTTACTGTAAGATCTCTTCTGTCCCCTCTGACCCTCCCTAGGTGTCATCTAATCGGGGGAGGAGTGAGTGCTGGGGTCTGTGGCTTTTGTTTCTGCTTCAGCTTCTCTTCCTTCTCTGGGGCCAGGCAGAGAGGCAGTCTGGCTGCGAGCCTCTCTCATCTCTTTGAGGAGTTCTTAGCAACTAAATTAGAAATCCCAAATGCTAGGGGCTGGAGAGATGGCTCTGGGGTTAGGAGCATTTGCTGTTCTGTTGGAGACTGGAGTTCAGATCCCAGCATCCCACATCAGGGCAATTCACAAACGTCTGTAATTGCAACTCAAGGAATCCAACATCCCCTGTGCTGTCTGGGGTACCCATGTGCAGACACACATACACATGTGTAAAATGAGTTTAAAAAGGGCTTCCCACATGCTAAGCAAGCACTCTACATCATAGCAGCCTGGCCCTTCGGTGCCACACTACTGCTGAGTCAGCTAGCCTCTCTAGAGAATTCTAGGCAAGCACAGCCCCCCCCCTTTTTGCTTTATCTTGTTATTTGTTTTTTAATGGTTTTTTGAGATGGAATCTCACTGTGTAGCCCTGGCTGCTATGAAACTCACTCACTAGATCCGCCTCTGCCTCCTGAGTGCTGGGACTAAAAGTACTTGCTACCATGCCCAGCTTCCCAGTCTTTGCTGGTTTGTCTGATTTGTTTTAGGGTCTCTCTAAGTAACCCAGGCTGGCCTGGAACTCACGATGTAGATCAGGATGGCCTCAAACTCATAGAGAACCACCTGTCTCTGCCTCCCAAGTCCTAAAGGCTCATGCCACCCTATCCGGCTCCCAGTCCTATTTAAAATTTTTATTTTGGGACAGGCTCTCACTAAGTTGTCGAGGCTGTCCTTGAACTCACTCTGTAGCAGTCTTGAACTTTCAATTCTTTCTGAGTGACAGGGGTGGTAGGCTTTTCCCACCTAGGACAGACTAACCCTTGTCTTTTCCGAGGAGAAAGCTGAGACCAGAGGAGTTGAACAGATTACTGACACAGTTTGTGATAAAGATCTGGGGTTCCTGACATCCCACACTTTGCTGTGGTCCTATGGCTTCCTCTGCTTGTAGGTGCACACACACACACACACACACACACACACACACACACGTCAGGACAGAAGTTAGAGAGGAACAAGGAAGCATGTGTTGTATGTTATGTGAAGACAACCCTACCAACCCAGTCTCGGGAGGCTGAGGGAGGAGGATCAGAAATGGTCACATGGTGAGTGTTAGGTGAGCTTGGCCTAAATCATGAGCAGACTCTGTCTTCACACCCTCTCCTCGCTCACAAAGACCTTGGGGGCAATCGGCATAGAGACGGGGGATAAGAGAGTCTGACAGGGACACTCCGAAGATAAACACTAAACACGGGCTCTGTTTAACATGGCTGGGTGTCTACCCCTCTTCAAAGGGATGATTCTGCTTAATCCAAGCAGCCGGGTCAACTGACACCTGTTCCTGCACTCCCGCTAGTGCTGGCAGCCCAGAGAGGAAACTGGTCCTTCCCCAAATGAGCTTTAGGGAAGGAAAGATATTCAGGGAAGTCTAAAGCTGAGAGCCGAGAGAGTGGAAGATGTCTCAGCTGCCGTGGAAGGCAAAGGGAGCTCTGCACGGAGCCTGGCAGCTCACAGATGCAGGCTTGTAGGGAAGGGGCAGTGGGACTGGGAAGCTACTTACCCTCCTCAGCAGCAGTGGACTGGGGCTGGAAGTGGAGGATGAGAGCCAGCAGGCAGAGCGCCACAGTTTTTCTCATCTTCCCCGACATCGCGCACAGGGCAGGTAGTCCTCCTGACTGCTGGCAAAATGAATGTGAGCCACGGAACCCCAGAAATAAAAAAGGCCAAGAGACCTTTGACCTCTGAGATACTGAGAGTGCCAGGGGGTTAGTGTGAATAGGGAGTCAATCTGGCAGCTTCCCATATGATGAAGGGTGGGGGCTGGCCACTCTGGGCCAAAGAGCAAAGGGGAGCGGTCCCCATTCCCAGCCAGACAAGTGTATAGGTGTTCAGGTAGGTAATGAGATTTATCACCCCAGCAGAAGGGTGGTGCTCTTGGCCCTTCCACAGAGAGAATATCTACAGAACATCCCTCAAGCTGACCCTCTTTCTGTCCTATAGGCACCCCAGAAGGACATGGGGTTTAAGTTATGACACCCTGAGATGATCAGGAATATGTATATACATATTTAACATCCTGGCCACAGATTTCCCTCCTTCCTCTCCTTCCAGTCCCCCTTGCTTAGTCCCCTCTCTTCCCAACCCCCAACCCACTCCCCCATTAGGAAAGGGCAGGTCTCCCATGAGTATCAAAACAGCACAGCATATCAAGTTGCAGTAAGACTAAGCACCTCCCCATGTATTAAGGCTGGGCAAGGCCACCCAGTATGAGGAGTAGGGTCCCAAACCAGCAAAACAGTCAAAGACAGCCTCTGCTACCACTATTAGGAGTCCCACAAAAGGACCAAGCCACAACTGTAACATATATGCAGAGGGCCTAGGTCAGTCCCGTGCAGGCTCCCTGGTTGCTGGTTCAGTCTCCGTGAGCCCCTATGAGCCCAGTTACTTGATTCTGTGAGTTTTCTTGTGGTGGCTGTGACCCCTCTGGCTCCTACAATCTTTCTCCCCCTCTTCTGCAGGATTCCCTAGCTCTGCCTAATGTTTGGCTGTGCGTCTGCGTCTGCTTTCATTAGTTGCTGGATGACAGCTCTCTGATGACAATTGGGCTAGGCACCAATCTGGTCACAGGGGAGGACCAGTTGGGGCTACGTAACCACTATTGCTAGGAATCTTAGCTGGGTCATCCTTGTGGATACCTGGGGGATTAAATTCCCTTGTGCCAGGGTTTTATCTGACAGTGAAATGCCCCACTCCTTCCAGTAGTCTCTTTCAGTGCTCTCCCCCTGTCCATCGGGAACTCTTAAATGTGTGAGTGCAGAGGTCAGCAAGGCCCTCTCGCCATCACTATGGCCACCTGGAGTGGTCTTGTCCGCCTTGAAGGACATGGAACCAAGTGCTTAGTCCTCAGCCTTCTGGAGGTTCCCACCTGTTGCTCTCTGTCCCTAAGGTCTGGCCTTGGGTCTGTCCGTCCTCAGTGTCTTCTGGCAGAGGTGGGCCTGCCCTGCTCCAGCTGGAAGAGGTAAGTGCTCCAGACACTGGGATGGGAATGTTTAACCCCTGGGAAGGTTGTTCTGCCCAGAGAAGGGCATAAGACATTTCCCTCCATTACTTCCAGATGCAACCCACCAGGCCACCCTGCCGGCCCGCCCCCCTCCTCCCCCAGCACACACATCAGGAAGAGAGGAAAACTTAAGGTTCTGCACTGAAGAGATTTATTGATAGGGAAATTCCAGAGCAGGGTGGAACCTACACAAAGATAAAGATGCCAAGAGTGTTCAGAGACCTTGGGCTTCCCGAACATGGAGGTGACGCTGAGGAGGAGGTGGCGCCTGGCTCTTTGCTCCAGTCTTCTGGCAATGACCTATGGACCAACTCTGGTCACCTGAGATTAGACACTCAAAGCTTTGGGACCTGGTGTCAGCTTCGTCTTAACCAGCCAGGAATACCTGTGTCTAAATCTGGATGGGGCATGATGGGTAGACACTGTTGTTCTCACGGAGCTTCTGATTTCACCACCTTGGGCCTCTGAAAGTTGAGCTGGGGGATGGGAGAGACAGATGCAATCAAGTAGGGATAGGAGGAGTGGGGGTGGGGAACAGGGTAGGGAAACCCGGAGTAGAAGAGTGGGCAGCCCCAAGGTGGGGGAATCTCTTAGCCATGTCACCTTAGTATTGGGGTCCACATGCTGCAGGTTTGGCTGGAAGTGTCTGTACCCTTTCTCCAGGCCAAATTTGTCCTCTTTCAGATCCCGGTCTGCAGGGAAAGGTATGGTGTAAGAAGGGTTTCCCTGGAGGAGGCCGGGGCAGCCATGGGCAGGTGGAGTGTGTATGGGGTAGGGTGCGGGCTCCAGGAAAACGAAGTTAACTGCTTTTCTAATCCGTGATGGAGTCTTAGTGGACTTGACTTGAGCCTGGAAGCTGCTCTGGGGTGATGCAGGGACACCAGAGAGAGAGAATAGCCTTCCTACCCACTTGTGACCTATGTATCATGGGTCACAGGTCATACCCATGGGGAGTCATTGCCATCGGTGTGAGGAACAGATGGGAGTAGACAGCTAGCAGCCTCTTGAGTCATTGAGTCATATACCGCCCCTCACCTGCCAGCCCTTAGCAACTGTGTAAACACGCAGACAACCCAGGTTTTCGGGAAATTGTTACTGTGGCCCTGTTATTCATCAGCAATAGCTACTTCCTCTTCCTGAATCCTGCAGCTCTTCTTGTCTTCCTGGACTCCACTGTTTTGTTTGTAGTTGTAGTTGTTTCCCTTATCATCTTGGCCATTCCCCAGTGGACGTCTTAGGGTGCTTCCTGCAATGGCTGCACTTCTAAGGGGTCCTAGGAGGCCTGCCCCCTTTCCCTCTGTAATTGCCAACCCTCCCTTTGCCCACTCCTGGTGCTACCTTGAGGTCCAAGAGCCCTCCCCTTCCAGGGCGTCAGTGTGCCCCACAGGCTTCTCTCTTGGATGCCCAACGCAGCAGCCGCCATACTCCTAAGATCAGCCTCAGATGCTCTGTCCTACACAATCCCCTCCTCAGCCTGCCAGCAACCCCAGCTCCCCAGCCTCGTCTGGTTGCCCATCTATTTCTCATCTCCTGAGCCTACTCATCCTAACTCCTTGTCCTTGTCTCCCATACTGTCCCCCTCAGACCCATCTGAGTGACCCACTTAAAACTCATCTGTGGACTTGGTGATTTATATACCTGTCAGCTCAGAGACTTGGCTGGCACATGGGTTCAAAGCTAGCCTGGGCTACATAGTTAGACCCTGCACCAGATAAATAAACAAATACGCAACACTACACACCCAGCTCTTGATCAAAGCCTTCCAAAGCCATCATTTCTTTTAGGGGCGGGGGGGGGGGGGAGGGCACATAGACCAGTTAGTCTCAAACTTGCTATGTAGCATAAAATGATCTTGAAATTTTGATGCTTCTTCGCCCACCTCCCTAATGCTGGGATTACAGGAGTGTGGACTCATGCCTGAGAAGGGCCTCACTCTATATATTCAGGAGCAGAAGCTGACCTCTGAGTCACTGCTTGGAGACTCAAACTTAAACTGGAAGCCTTCAGTGACCCCGAAGCTCAGTCTGGGTTATTCCTGGCCAGGTGCTATGGTTATAACCTGTGCACTGCTATGTGCTGGCACTTCAGAGAGTGGCTGTGTACCTGACACCCTTGTCTCACAGGCATGAAATGACTCTGAGTCTACCCTGAATCACTAGGAAAAGGGAGGCACATAAGGATTCATAAAAATAAAACCGAGGAAGCAGGAACTGTGGGTGTGGCGGTGCACACCTGTAATCCCAACACTCGAGAGGCTAAATTAGGAGGATCTCTAAATTCAAGGCCAACCTATGCTACACTGTGGCTTGCTTGAGATCACCCTGGACTACACAGTGACAGCAAACAGCTGTGGGGGTAACTGATGTGATGAATCGGTTGGTAAAATGCTTGCCTCAAAAATACTTGGGACCTGAGTTTGATCCCCAGAATTGCACATGAAAAGCTAAGCACAGCTGATACTCGCTCACGACCCCAGTGCCAGGGAAACAGACTGGCGGATCCCTGTGACTCTAGCCAGCCAGTCTGACCCAATCCATGAGTCCCAAGTTCCTATGAAAGACTTGTCCTCCAAAACAACTGTACAGCTTCTAGGGAATCAACACCCGAGACTGACCTCTGCACACGAATGCACACGAGTGCATGCTAGCACAACTCCCCAAATGTGCGCTGGGAAGGTGGGAAGTCTAAGCCTGCTCCGGGGAGGAATTGGGCAGAGGCAGCCATACAGATTAGAGAAGAAGTTAGGTAGCATGGACAGAGCTGGCAGACACAGCACAGGGGCCCCTGAGTTGCTCAGGAATCAGGGAAGATTAAGGACAAAGTGGAGGTCCCTGGAGAGGGGAGGGATCATAGGTTATAGAAGCAGTAAGTTTGGGTCTGGGATAGGTGGCTGGGAGTGGATCCTACCAGACAGTGGTGTGATGTATATAGAAATGTGGAGGGGAGGGAATTACTCCACAGAGGCCCTGGGAATTTGATGGGGGAGAAGCTGAAAAAGGACCAGAGGTCAGGCTAGTGAGATGGGTAAGGTGACCAGAGTCCCATGCAGGGACTCACTGTGGAAGGGAAGAACTGGCTCTCCACAGCTTCCTCTGATCTCTGCCCTCATAGCATCACACACAAGTGCCTACTAAATAAATGTAGCTTAAAACAAAAACGCGACGAGGCCAGTGCGAAGCCTGATGATGCCAGGGAAGGAGAAGGGACCAAGGGACCACAGAAGGGCAGGGGGTGGGTGCACTGAGATGCAGGGGCACAGGTGACAAGAGCTATCATCAGGTCACAGCATGGCAGGACTCGTGTCCTACCCCCATAGCCACTGTAGCTTTCCCGCTTTCACCCTTCCCCCAAGAACAGTTACCTTCCCAGACACCTGTGCTCTGGAAGGTTCCAGGGAGGGCTTCTCTCCGCCATGCTTGAGATGGGTCGTATTTTGCCCTGCAGACAGCAGTGTCATGAGTGAGAGGCTTCATATTAGAGGAGTAGGAGGGGCCATGGCAGACCCTGACCCTGAAGGGGGCGATAGCATCTCTTCCCTTCAAAGTAACGGTCATGGGAAGCGATGACTAAAGTAATGGCCATGGGGGGTGACAACTAGACTCACTCTGGTCTCTCTGTCTCCACAGGCAGAGACCCGGCTCCCTCAACATCCCTCAGGCTCCTCAGGTATGAAATAGGAGCATTGCAATAATCCCTTCTGCTCACTTCTAGCCCAGGTGTTCTAGTGCCTGTCTCTTGACAGTTCTTCAAATGTGCATCTCACCCTGTCTGGCTCAGTCCCAGCCCCCCCTCATTACTCACTCTCTAAGGCAGCCTAGATAATAAAATACAATTTTATTGTATCATCTAATTTCGGTGCTTAAGTTTCTGTTTCCATTTCTCACTCAAAGTGACTACCCTACCCTATCAGATTTAAAAAAACAAAAGCTGCCACTGGTGATGTGCAGCGGTGGGTGGGGCTAGACACCCTGTTTGGCTTCAGCCAACTTCTTCACCGCAAGACTGGGAACCGAAGAATTGCAGAGCATTAACAGTGACTTCTGGGGGGAAGTGTCCTCACTCCCCAATTGGTCCCTCTCTCTGGGACCATGGTGGCTGGGCTCATGAGCTCTCACCTGTGTTGTTTTTTCTGGGCTCGACTAAGGAAGACAGCCAAGACCACTAGGACCAGCAGCACTGCCAGCCCGGTGCCCACGAGTCCATACACAAGTCTCTTGCTGGTTCTAGACGTGCAGGTCTTCCCCCAGTACCAGTGGGTGTCTGTGTTCGGGCACCTGAAGAGACACACACACACAGAGGCTCAGGCTAGGCCCCTTATATCAGGTCTCCTGAGGGGAAATTAAATACCTAAAGCCCAGGGACCTCTCCTAAAGGTAGGGATGTATGTGTGTCTGGGGAAGCCAGGGTCCCTGAGTCTGTAAAGTGTGGGAGAGGGGGAGCTCAGTATGCCAGACCTCAGAGGGACTCCAGGAACCTGAGTGTTTTGTCCTAGCTATGCCCTTGCTTGCATATCTAATCTCAAAGCAGCTGGCACCCGAAAGGACCTCTTATCATGCTTACTATTTTGTACATTAATTTATGATCATGGAAACTAGTACGCCCAGGTTGCAGCTAGAAGTGTTCACGGCTGAAATGTCACAACAGAAATTAATGACGGAGCTAGGCATGATAGGTCAGGTCCAGAATCCCAGAACTCGGGGAGGTTGTGGAGGGAAGATTTGTTCAAAATGGAGGCAGCTTGGGCTACACAGTGAGTTCCAGTCCAATCTGGACTACCGAGACCCAGTCTGAGAAAGAAATGAAGAAAAGGGGGAGGGAAGGAAGGAAATAAAGAAGGGAAAGGAGGGAAGAGGGAATAGAGGATGTGACTGGGTCACAAGGAGACGAGGCAAATAACTTGAATCTTCTCAGAAAAAGCCCTGGCTGCACTGGAGAATGCCGGAATCTAAGAACACATGGCCACCCATCACTCTCATGATGACCGAGGGTGCGGGAAGATCCCTGTAGAGGGGAGAGAGATGTAGAAGACAGCAGAGGTGCCTTCCAAGCATCTCCATTGCTAGATACAGTTGCTTTGTTATTTACCCACGTCATCCACCCACCTAGTTACTCAGGCACTGGGGGGTGGTAGGTGTCATCCACGCACCTAGTTACTCAGGCACTGGAGGGGGGTGCGGAATGGTATATGATCCTCAGGGCAAGGTGTAGCAGGGAGCACCTCCCATCAGGGGAAGGAGGTAGGCACTCACACACAATGGGGCCCTGAGCGTAGCAGCTGGCACTGGCCCAGGTTGCAGTTGAGTTGTGACTTTGTCCCCTGAGTGCAATTGTTCACGCAGGTCAACCTTCCCTCCACAAGCTCCGGGTAGAAGTATCTGCCAAAGTCCTCGGCAGCCTTCTGGATGCAAAGATCTACAGGGTGAGGAAGGACAGCTAGAGTCAGTACAGCAGGGCTAGAACTCTCCCTGGGTCCCTGTTTACCATCCGCACTCCACCCGCTCCGGCCCACAGCTCCAAGGGGCTGCTCACCGGCAGGGTTGAAGCTGAACTTTAGAGTCTCCACACCCACAGTGGTGAAGTTACCATTGTAGCACAGTTTGGAGTCTGCCCACGATAAAGGGAACAGAAAAACACAGTGAAAACCACACAAACTTCTTTCTGCCTCTTTGTCAACAGTCAGGCCTCCTTCTCCCACCCAGGCTCTTCCCCTTCCCCCACCCAAGCCCCTCCCCTTCTCCCACTAGGCCCCTCCCCTTCTCCCACCAGGGCTCCTCCCCTTTCTCCTCCCTCCACCCCACCCCCCACCCCTGCCACTCCCCTCCTCCTACTACTTCTCTCCCTTTTTCCCTCCTTCCCCTCCCTTCATCTGCTTCCCCTCGTCCTTCCTCCCCACATCTCCCTCAACTTCCCCTTCTGTATTAGCGGTCCATACTGAACCAATGTGAGAGCTCCAGATAGACAGCCATATCCTGTGAGCAGGCTCACACATGGACATGGAGGCGACAGCTTCAGCCTCCTTCCCCTGATGGGAGGTGCTCCCTGCTACACCATGCCCTGAGGATCATATCAGGGTGGCAGGGAGCAGGATGGAGTCAGGGGAGGCACTAGGGATGGCTTTGTTTTGTTGTGGATTTTCAAAAGATTTCTTTATTAATAATTTGCTTATTAAAATTTATTTATATTTTTATTTGTTGTTTTCTAAGACAGGATTTCTCTATGTAACAGACCTGGCTGTCCTTAAACTCAATGTGTAGACCAGGCTGGCCTCAAACTCATGGAGATCCACCTGCCTGGGATTAAAGGCGTGTGCCACCACTACTGTGGCGGTCTGTGCCTGTTATCTTGTTTTTTGTTTTGTTTTTGTTGGGGTTTCTTTTCTGTTGTTTTGTTTTTTCAGAGCTAAGGGCTTTGCACTTGCTAGGCAAGCATTACTACCTACTACTGAATTATATCCCCAACCCCTTAAGATTTATTTTTTTATTTCATTTTTACCTCTCTGTGGGTGTGTGAGAGAGAGAGTGTGTGTGTGTGTGTATGTGTGTGTGAGAGAGAGAGAGAGAGAGTGTGTGTGTGTATGTGTGTGTGTGTGTTTTCACATGTGTGTAGGGATGGCTGTGGAGACCAGAAAAGGGTAAGAAGGTATTGGATCTTCTGGAGCTGGAGTTACAGGCAGCTTTGAGAACTGAACTCAGGTCCTCTGCAAGAGCAGCAAGTGTTCTCAACTTCTAAGCCATCTCTCCAGCATCCCCTGCCTTTTGTTGAAAAAGGACTATAAGCCTGGAGTTCACTGTGGAGCCCAGACCAGCTCTGAATCCATGACAATCCTCTGCCTTAGCTTCCTTACTGCTGAGATTACAGGTGTGAGCTAACACACAGGGCTGATTTCTAGATCTCTATGGTGGGGACTCTGCTATTCCAAATGAGGAGAGAGAGAGAGAGAGACGTGAAGACCCAGGTGTTGTGGGATATTAATTGAAGATGTGTTACATTAGTTTATGCTGTGAAACATTTGTGTAATGATGCAAAGATGAGTTGTATTCTCTTATGTTACATTTGTTTAACTCTGTGAAGCTGTGATTCTTTGCCTGTCTAAAACACCTGATGGGCTAATAAAGAGCTGAACGGCCAATAGTGAGGCAGGAGCAAGGGTAGGCGGGGCTGGCAGGCAGAGAGCATAAACAGGAGGAGAAATCTAGGCTCAAGAGAAGAGTGAGAAAAAGAGAAGAGGAGGGATGCCAGGGGCTGGCCAACAGCCAGCCACAAAGTAAGGAAGAAAATAAAGGCAAGAAGGAAGAAAGCACAAGCCCAGAGGCAAAATGTAGTTAAAGAGAAAGGGAATAATTTAAGTTAGAAAAGCTGGCGTCTGGGTGGTGGGCCCCCAAAGAGTAAAAAACAAAAATCCCAGGAACACCCAGACTTCCTTCCCACCAGTGTCAAGGAGTTTCAGAAGGACTTACTTTGACAAAGGGACATGTCAGTTTCATATGTTCCGGTCTCCTTTGTGATCTTGTCCTTCACAATCTTTGTGAGGTTTCTGAACAGTGTCTGATACTCTGGGGTGTAGTTTGCTTCTAGGATGACATCACTTTCCACCACGATGCTGCCGTTGCTGCAAGCAGGAAAGACTTCAGCGTCTCCTCCACAGCACCAACACCCAGCAAGGAAGACGAAAGCAGCAAGATAGGAGGCAAGGAAACCAGGTGGCCCATGGGTTGGAGAGAAGAGGGTTCCTGCGGGGTGTGATGATGTACACCTGCAAGGCTGGGGTAGGAGGGTCATAGGTTCAAGGCCAACCTGGGCTACAAAAATCCAAAAGAAGCAAAAGGATGGAGGGTGGGGGAGGAAGGAAGGGAAGAGGGAAAGGAAAAGAAAAGGAACAAAAGAGAAGAAATGAGGGCCCCCACCCTCGGGCAGCTAATAAATTCCAAAGAGCTAGGTGAGTAAGACAATTCAAGATCAGCAAATCTCAGTGTTTCTCACAAAAGCTAACGGATGAAGTTTATCTCTGAAAATAGAGGGTTGGATCATCAAGGTGGCTCTGTGGGTAGAGGCACTTGCAGCCAAGCCTCCTGACTTGAGTTCAGTTCTGGGATCCAATGGCAGAAGGAGAGATACAACTCCTGCCAGTTATCCTGTGACCTCCATTCCTCCATGTGTGTGCAGTGGTACAAGCACACATTTGTTGCACACATAACACACACAATAATGTAATTTTTAAAAAAAACCCAAAATATAGGGACTCTTGAGTGAAGATGTGTCGCTGGCAATGGAAAATGGAGGAAAGCAAAATGGCAGAGTTTCCAGAAATTAAAAGCAGTTGAATGTGGTGGCTAATGTCTACAATCTCAGTGCTTGAAGGAGGGAGGAGGGGGGAGAAGAGGAGGGAGATGCGAGTGAAGGGGGGAGGGGGAGGGAAAAGAAAGAGGAGATGAGAAGGACGAAATCATGAGTTCCTATTAAAAAGTGGGACTCTACCCTTGAAGCCTCTCACTAAGTGGCCGGTGATACTGCTGCAGGGAACAATTTTGGGACAAAGGAAGTCATCTGTCATGGTCCCTGCCAGCAGAAGCCAGCAGCCTTCGTACTCCTCATCCAAGTCCAGGCACCCTGTTCCTCAGCAGCTCAGAAATCCGTTATTTCCTAAACTCTCCCTTCATTCACTCCACGAATCCCCACAGTGTGGTGGGGAGATCGGGACCCCCTTTTCCCTCTCTAGTCATTGACACCATCACCTCCAGTGTGGACATCTGCCCACCTTCCTCTACCCTGCGGCCAGACACAGCTATCAGGTCTGCAAGTCAGATCCTGTCCCTTGCAGGACAGCTGCTGATATGGACGGTCTCATTGCTTGGCACGAGTCATTTCTCCACCTCTGCTGCCACTATTAAGTGCACTTCCAAGTTTCTAGAATTCCCTCCTCCACCACCACCACCACCACTGCTCTGGGCTCCCCGCCAGTGCCTCCCCCACTGCAACTCTTTCCCTAGCCTCCCTACTTATGAACCCTCCTCCTGGGAAGAATTCTCTGCAGCTGACCACGTTTGCCTCTGGGATCTTTCCCAGGCACTCTGCACTCTTGGGACCCCCTGTGCTCTGCCATTCTGTATCCAGGGCTACCGCGTGTTCCAAGCATCTAACACAATTCGTTCATTTTGGTTTTCTTCTTTTGTTAAAGCAGGCTTTCTTTGCATAGCCCAGGTTGGCCTGGAACTCACTGTGTAGCCCAGGCTGGCCTTCAACTTCTGACCACTCCTGTCTTAAGCATTCAAGACTAGTATTACAAGTGTGTAGCACTCAGCTAGGGTTGGCTTTTAATAAAAATTTGCCAAATGAAAAATCAATGACTATAAAGATGAAGGAGTAGATGAATAAATGCACTAATGGGGAATGAAGAAACATGGTAAATAATGAAAATGAATAAGCATAAACAGTGAACAAGCATGATGAATAAATGAGAGAGGCAAGCACGGATGAACATATGCTGAACGAACGGCTGTCATGAGCAAATGAATGATGATGACAGAACTTACATGAACAACTAACTGAGTAACCATATGAACAAATGAAGGGGCAAACTGGGGATGAATGAATGAATGAATGTGTAACCATGATGATAAAGAAATGAATCGATGAATTTATGAGTGCATGGCAAATTTTATGAATGAGTGAATGAGCAAATTATAAATGACTAACCTTGAAGAACAAATGATGAATGAGTCAGGGCTCTCAGGAGTCCCCCAGTCCCAGACAGATGCTGATAGCCTAACCTCGGGATAGGAGGAAGTAGCAGAGCAAGAAAGAGGTCCCCTCCGCCCTCAACACTCACAGCAGTTCTTTAATGATCACTTCTTTGTACTGGGGAAGGTCATCGCCCTCGTAAACTTTATCCATCTGGAAAAAAAAAAACAGATCATTCAGAGCTGGAGTATGACCCATCTTTGGACAGCTCCACGCTGGTGTGGGTGGAGCCCATAGGAAAGAAAGGGAAGGGGCAGAAGGGATCTGAGTAGGGTAGGGCTCAAGGGTGGCTGCTCTGGGAGGAGTCTACCTTAGAACTCTGGGAGGCAAAGGGCTGGCGGAAGATGACAAAGTGTGATAGGCACCCATTGCCCCTCACTCGACTGAGTGCCACTGCTCCTACCTGGCTCAGGAAGAGGTTTTGGAAGTTCTTGTAGGCCTCAGAGGATGTGTTCTTTAAGTCACTTGTGAAGTTCCGGTGAGTCACTTTTACCATCATGGTCACTGTAGCGTTGATAACATTCGGGATTTCTGTGGGACCAGGCAACAAGGTGCGTGAGACAGTGACCCTGAGGACCTGCAGGAATGTCTCTGGGGGAAGTAAGTGTTCCTGCCTATTGGTACCACGGAGGAGAAAGAAAAGAGTAGAAAGGAGGATAGAAACTCAAGAGTAGCTGAGGGTGGATAAGACTTCTGTCTCTACCCATGTGTATGTATGTGTATATACTGGGAATTTTTGTGTGTGTATACACATGTATGGAGTTCAGACATCTGTGTTGCTCATCTTCCTCTCTCTCTCCACTTTAGTGTTTGAGACAGTCTCTCACCAATCTGGCTAGACTGGATGGTCAGAGAACCTTCAGGGATCTGCATGTCTCCTCCTGAGGGCTAAGATTACATGTTCACAGCACTGTGTCCAGAGTTCGACATGGGTTCTGGGGAACCAATTGCAGATCTCCATTTGCGCTGTGAATACTTTACTGATGGAACTATCCCCCTACACCCCAGCCCCTGTCTTTTGAATTCAGAGAGAGCTAATGGCCTGATGGAGACCCAGGGAGTCAGGTGGAAGGATTCTCAAAGAGTTAGGGTAGAGACCTCCTGATAGAAAAGAAGGAGGGTCAGGGAGGGTAGATCAGAAGTTAGAGGCAGGAGGACCAGAACAAAAGTGACATTACCACCTCTTCCGGCAGTGATGCCATGGGAATGGTTGATTAATCATTCCACAATGCCCAACTCACCTCAAATGTCAAGAGACACAGAGAGTGGTCATTACCTACTGGGAAGGAATACAGGATGGAGTCACAGAGCTGACCAGTGTAGCCTGACTTGCATTCACACTGTCTTCCATTCCACTTTCCATTCTTGCAGTTGCCTGGAAAATGACAGAATTAAAAAAGATCATTGAAAAAGCTCTGGGAACAAAAAAAAATTTGCTCCCATCCAGGTGTCATCAAAGCCCTGAACTTGACAGGCAATAAGACTAAATGATGGCACAAGTTTTAAAAAAAACCTTTCATTCCTGCCTTATTCCAGGAAACTAGAGGAGAAAGGAGACAGAAATGGGTTTAAGGATACAAGAAACACAAGAGAGGAAAGAAAGAAGGAAGGAACCCTATGAATCAAAAGAACCAACAGAATGATAAGCATGATGAACCTACACTTATAATCACAATACTCAAGAGGAAGAGGCAGATGGATCACAAGATTAAACCTAGCCCGAGATGCATAGTGAGAGCTGTTACAGTATTACCAACCCCATGCCAAAGACAACACATATCAACGAGAGAAATATGCACTGGTATCTGTAATGTCAGAAAACATGCAACATGAGCCCACATAGGAAAAGAAGATTGAGAGCTGAGACCTGAGGGAGAAACACAGAATCAACTACATGAAACTTACTTGGTGGCAAAGACGTGTATTGAGTCCTCATGGAAGTAGGGTGTATGCTGGTGAACGGAGGGTGGGCAGTAGAGCTGCTGCTGAACATAGGGATGGTGCTGTAAGGGGAGTGAAGTGAGGTGGAGGACGGAGGAGAAGAAGCAAGAGGCCCTGTCTGAGATGAAGAGGAGTCAGACACTGGCAAGAATGGGAAATGAGGTGCTGAAGTCAAAGAGGCAGCAAGGTGAAATGTGGTCTCAGGGCTACCTGTTGATGTTGGGGAACGCGCTGAAGATGGGCTGCTAAAAAAAGTGGGCGACGAAGATGAGACTGGGGATGGGGAGTTGTCAGATGATGCAGGAGGCAGGGGTGAGTTAGAACTGTGTGGAGGGAATGAAAGCCCTTCTGTTATTAAAGTAGTTGAGGCTGGCTCTGATGATGGCGTACTTGGGATTGAGGATTCTTCATTAATAATGGTAGAGGAAGAGCTCGGGAAGGGATGACTAGTTACCACTAGAGTGCTACTGCTTGGAAAGATGGTGGATTGTTGAGTGAGGACTGCTTTGGAGGACTCAGTTGCTTGAGTTAGTGGAGTAGAAAATGGGCTGTAAGAAACAGGTGAAGATGCATGATGTGTTCTGACTGTGGTGAGGTAGGTATCAGAAGGTGAAGTTGTTTGTGATGAAGCTGTACTGCTTGGAAAAGATGTAGGTCCCTGAGAAAAGGCTGTCATTAGGGAAGTATCAGTGGACAAAGTTCCATCTGTAGAAATGGGGTGGCTTGGGGAGGCTGTAGAAGCTTCGGGTGGGGCTGAAGTGGAGGAGGTCTCAGGTGGCAGGGCTGTTTCTGAGAACCCTGAGCTGGTTGAGGATTCCTGAGTGAAGACTGATGTTTGCCAAATGTCAGAGGGTTGGGATGAATATGGGGAAATGGGGCTTCTTGATAAGACTGTAGAAGGCCCAGTGAGGGCTGAAGTGAGGGTAGCCTCAGCAGATACAGCTGTGTCTGTGGAGACTGAGCTGCTTGGGAAGGTTGTAGATTCCTCAGTGAAGAGTGGAGTCTGGGCGGTCTCAGTTGCCTGAGTTACAGGTTTCATAATTGGGCTGCTTGAGGGGGTTGTAGACGCCTCCATCGGGGCTGTGGAGAGTGAGGTGTTGGGAGGGAAAACGTTTTCTGGGGATGCTGAGCCGCTTGAGAAGGTTGTAGATTTCTGGGTGATGACTGTTTCCGGGATGTCAGTTGTTTGAGTTGCTTGTGTTGAAAACAGGCTGCTTGATGATGTTCCAGTGGCCTCAGTGATGGCCGGGGGGTGGGTGGTGTCGGGAGGTACAGCTGTTTCTGTGGAAAGTGAGCTTCTTTGGGAGGTGGTAGATTCCTGAGTGAAGACCGTTATGGAGGATTCAGTTGGATGAGTTGCATGTGTTGAGACGGAGCTGTTTTGGGATGCTGTGGATGCCTCGGTTGGGATGGTACTGTGGGAGGTGTCAGGAGGTACAGCCGTTTCTTTCGTGGAAACAGAGCTGACTGAGAAGGTTGTAGATTCTTGAGTGAGCAGTGTAATCTGTGAAGTCTCGGGGGCTTGAGTTGCATGAGTTGAGATCGGGCTGCCCTGGGGGGTTGTAGCCCCCTCAGTCAAGGAAGAGGTGTAGGAGGTCCCAAGAGATACAAGCACTCCTGTGGTAATTGAGCTGCTTGGAAAGGCTGTAGATTCCCGAGTGTAGGCTGTTGTTTGAGATATCTCAGGAGCTTGAGTTGTTTGTGCAGAAACTGGGCTGCTCAGGAATGTGGTGGTTGCCTCAGGTTGGTATGTGGTGTGGGAGCCCTGAGGAGAGACCGCTGTCTCTGAGGAAACTAAGCTGGTTGCAAAGGTGGTAGATTCCTGAGTGATGACTCTTGGTGATGTCTCAGTTCCCTGAGTGTCTAGTGTGGAAATCAGCCTCCCTGGGTAGGTAGTAGATGCCTCAGATTGTGACGTGGTGTGGGTGATCTCAGGAGGTACAGCAGTTTCTGAGGAAATCGAGGTACTCTGGAGAGCTGTAGTCTCATGAGTGAAGGATGTTGTTTGTGAGGTCTCCGTTGCTTGAGTTACTCGTGTTGAAACCAAGCTGCCTGGCGAGGTTGTGTATGTTTCAGACTGTCCTATAGTGGGTGAGGTGTCAGGAGGAGCAGCTGTTTCTGTGGGAACTGAACTGCTTGGGAAGGTTGTAGACTCCTGAGTGAACTTTGTTTCAGAGGTTTCTGTTGGTTGGTGGGCATGTGTGGAAATCAATGACCAGGAATAAGTGGTAGATGCCTCATTTACTGGTGAGGTGGAGGAGGTCTCAGAAGGCGCAGCTGTTTCTCTTGAACTTGAGGGAGAAGTGAAGATGGTAGATTCTGGAGTGAATACACTTGGGGATGCCTCAGTTCCTTGAGCTGTCTGTGTAGAAGGAGGGCTGTATGGTGAGGTTGTAGACTCCTCCTCAGTGACAGCTGAGGTGTGGGAGGTTTCAGGAATGACAGCTGTTTCTGTGGAAACTGTGCTGGTTGGCAAGGTTGTAGGTTCCTGAGTGAAGACTGTGGCATGTGACATCCCAGTGGTCTGGGTTCCATCTGTAGAAATGGGGTGGCTTGGGGAGGCTGTAGAAGCTTCGGGTGGGGCTGAAGTGGAGGATGTCTCAGGTGGCAGGGCTGTTTCTGAGAAACCTGAGCTGGTTGCGGATTCCTGAGTGAAGACTGATGTTTGCCAAGTGTCAGGGGCTTGGGAGGAATATGGGGAAATGGGGCTTCTTGGTGAGACTGTAGAAGGCCCAGTGAGGGCTGAAGTGAGGGTAGCCTCAGCAGATACAGCTGTGTCTGTGGAGACTGAGCTGCTTGGGAAGGTTGTAGATTCCTCAGTGAAGAGTGGTGTCTGGGCGGTCTCAGTTGCCCGAGTTACAGGTTTCATAATTGGGCTGCTTGAGGGGGTTGTAGACGCCTCCGTCGGGGCTGTGGAGAGTGAGGTGTTGGGAGGGAAAACGTTTTCTGGGGATGCTGAGCCGCTTGAGAAGGTTGTAGATTTCTGGGTGATGACTGTTTCCGGGATGTCAGTTGTTTGAGTTGCTTGTGTTGAAAACAGGCTGCTTGATGATGTTCCAGTGGCCTCAGTGATGGCCGAGGGCTGGGCGGTGTCGGGAGGTACAGCTGTTTCTGTGGAAAATGAGCTTCTTTGGGAGGTGGTAGATTCCTGAGTGAAGACCGTTATGGAGGATTCAGTTGGATGAGTTGCATGTGTTGAGACGGAGCTGTTTTGGGATGCTGTGGATGCCTCGGTTGGGATGGTACTGTGGGAGGTGTCAGGAGGTACAGCCGTTTCTTTCGTGGAAACAGAGCTGACTGAGAAGGTTGTAGATTCTTGAGTGAGCAGTGTAATCTGTGAAGTCTCGGGGGCTTGAGTTGCATGAGTTGAGATCGGGCTGCCCTGGGGGTTGTAGCCCCCTCAGTCAAGGAAGAGGTGTAGGAGGTCCCAAGAGATACAAGCACTCCTGTGGTAATTGAGCTGCTTGGAAAGGCTGTAGATTCCCGAGTGTAGGCTGTTGTTTGAGATATCTCAGGAGCTTGAGTTGTTTGTGCAGAAACTGGGCTGCTCAGGAATGTGGTGGTTGCCTCAGGTTGGTATGTGGTGTGGGAGCCCTGAGGAGAGACCGCTGTCTCTGAGGAAACTAAGCTGGTTGCAAAGGTGGTAGATTCCTGAGTGATGACTCTTGGTGATGTCTCAGTTCCCTGAGTGTCTAGTGTGGAAATCAGCCTCCCTGGGTAGGTAGTAGATGCCTCAGATTGTGACGTGGTGTGGGTGATCTCAGGAGGTACAGCAGTTTCTGAGGAAATCGAGGTACTCTGGAGAGCTGTAGTCTCATGAGTGAAGGATGTTGTTTGTGAGGTCTCCGTTGCTTGAGTTACTCGTGTTGAAACCAAGCTGCCTGGCGAGGTTGTGTATGTTTCAGACTGTCCTATAGTGGGTGAGGTGTCAGGAGGAGCAGCTGTTTCTGTGGGAACTGAACTGCTTGGGAAGGTTGTAGACTCCTGAGTGAACTTTGTTTCAGAGGTTTCTGTTGGTTGGTGGGCATGTGTGGAAATCAATGACCAGGAATAAGTGGTAGATGCCTCATTTACTGGTGAGGTGGAGGAGGTCTCAGAAGGCGCAGCTGTTTCTCTTGAACTTGAGGGAGAAGTGAAGATGGTAGATTCTGGAGTGAATACACTTGGGGATGCCTCAGTTCCTTGAGCTGTCTGTGTAGAAGGAGGGCTGTATGGTGAGGTTGTAGACTCCTCCTCAGTGACAGCTGAGGTGTGGGAGGTTTCAGGAATGACAGCTGTTTCTGTGGAAACTGTGCTGGTTGGCAAGGTTGTAGGTTCCTGAGTGAAGACTGTGGCATGTGACATCCCAGTGGTCTGGGTTCCATCTGTAGAAATGGGGTGGCTTGGGGAGGCTGTAGAAGCTTCGGGTGGGGCTGAAGTGGAGGATGTCTCAGGTGGCAGGGCTGTTTCTGAGAAACCTGAGCTGGTTGCGGATTCCTGAGTGAAGACTGATGTTTGCCAAGTGCCAGGGGCTTGGGAGGAATATGGGGAAATGGGGCTTCTTGGTGAGACTGTAGAAGGCCCAGTGAGGGCTGAAGTGAGGGTAGCCTCAGCAGATACAGCTGTGTCTGTGGAGACTGAGCTGCTTGGGAAGGTTGTAGATTCCTCAGTGAAGAGTGGAGTCTGGGCGGTCTCAGTTGCCTGAGTTACAGGTTTCATAATTGGGCTGCTTGAGGGGGTTGTAGACGCCTCCGTCGGGGCTGTGGAGAGTGAGGTGTTGGGAGGGAAAACGTTTTCTGGGGATGCTGAGCCGCTTGAGAAGGTTGTAGATTTCTGGGTGATGACTGTTTCCGGGATGTCAGTTGTTTGAGTTGCTTGTGTTGAAAACAGGCTGCTTGATGATGTTCCAGTGGCCTCAGTGATGGCCGAGGGCTGGGCGGTGTCGGGAGGTACAGCTGTTTCTGTGGAAAGTGAGCTTCTTTGGGAGGTGGTAGATTCCTGAGTGAAGACCGTTATGGAGGATTCAGTTGGATGAGTTGCATGTGTTGAGACGGAGCTGTTTTGGGATGCTGTGGATGCCTCGGTTGGGATGGTACTGTG